ACCGTACTCATTGTCGGAGGGATTCTCTGGAGGCGGCGGCAAGGATGGGTTGGGGACGTGTTCCTGAACAGCCTCTTCATCCGAGGATGTAGAAGAAGAGGAGGAATCCAAAGTAGAATCCGACGAAGAAGAGGAACTGGAGACCTTGCCGTCTTCAAGCTGAAGGAACTTAGTAGGATCATGCATGTGGCGCTGCTTTGTCGGAAGACGAGTTGCAAGAAAGACAAACCTTTTTCTTGAAGGTCACCGCTGGGGCAGGCGCAGGAAGGGATTAGACATGTTGCTTCGGAGTCACCACCCTCTTCGGCTTCGTCAGGCATTCCAGCAGTTTCTAGCTGCGTTCCAAGCGCCATGCAGGCCCACGGGCTCCAACTTGAGCCCTTTCTGCACATTGCAGACCATGGCGGCCAAGTGCTTGCGCAGGAGGGGCAGCCGGGTTGGGTGAATCGGGACTTCCTGCCGCATGACTTTGTCGAGGAGCGCTTGTAAGTCTGAGGCTGGTCTCTCTTCAGCCTGGCTGCTGGCGGCCACATCCAGCACCACCACGGCCCGGTTGTTCTGCAAGGTCACACGTCCTTCAACAGGGATGCGCATCTTGTGCTCTATGGTGGGCGACGGGATGATGACGATGCTTCGAGCCGAGAGCTACAAACGATGGACTGAAGGTGACAGACGTGACGCTCTGCAAAGATCTGGCCAAAGACGCGGGCCTTTGACAAAGTTTGAACATGTTTTTGAAGTTAGGGGATCTTCAATCCAGGATTGAAGATTGAAGATTCTCCAGGACTCTTGTTGGGAAATCTTCAATCCATGACTGAAGATTGAAGATTGAAGATTCCCCAACAAGAGTCCTGGAGAAGCTTCAATCTTCAATCCTGGATTACAGATTCTCCAAGAAGAGCCCTGGAGAATCTTCAGTCTTCAATCCTGGATTGAAGATTCCCAAGTCTGAACTCAAGTCTGAACATCAAGTCTGAACATCAGGTCTGAACTTCACGGTTCAAGTAACGTAATGGTGTGCGCGTGTCAATTTCAAGTCTTTTCTTTAAGGTGTATTTGCATATAGCATCTGTATTTATGTATGGCACCCCCAGACCAAGTAAATGAACCTTAAAACGGTAGACTTTTGGGGGGGTACCATATATACATATATATATATAAATAATATTATTATTAATTATTAATTATTATTATCATTATTATTGTTGTTGTTATTATTATTACTATTATTGTTATTAGTATCATTATTATTATTACTATTATTATTATTACTATTATTATTATATGGTACACCCCCTTGGAACTACTTCCATAGGCCTAAAAAATATTCCTCAAAATATTGAAAAGAAAATACCGTAAACACCAGTACAAGTAGTAAAAGGGTAAGTCTTGGGGGGCTATCATGTATGTATAAAATTATATATATATATGTCACCTCGAATCCCAGTAAAACTTAGTTGTAAAAAACAGTTTAAGTTCTCTATCGGACTAATTAAGATAAGGGGTTCTGTGATATCGGCACTTAAGTTCTAGGGTCAACTGCAACTGTGATAAGAATGGCACACTGTATAGACAAGTATAAGGATCAAAAAGAACATGGAAAATTAGACTATATAATATATCAAGATCGGATTATGTACATACTACGAATCTAAAATTCCTATGGTTTTGGCATCATCATATGCGAAGTCAAAAAGAATCGCCGTCCTGATTGTCCCAGACTCTAGTTGCCCGCTGAGTTTGAGAAAATAAGGTACCCAAAAATGTCATGGTTCAAAACTTCATGTTCCGTGTTTTTTCCCTATGAAAGTAGCAATTTTCCGGGCCTATCCCGTAATCCCCTCAGAGCAACCCCTACCAGCTCCGAGCGAAGCTCCAATTCTTTGGGAGCTTGGAGGGCCTGCGATGCCATGGGAACCCTGAAACACTGCTGTTGGGTTAAAAAAGCTGGGTTACTTTAATGTGGGTAAAACTATAGAAAAAACCACCCCCCAAATCACCATAAATAGGTGGTATGTTTACCATTCCCAAATGAGTGGTTTATTATTGTTTTACCCACTTTACAGAAATATGTGCAAGATCTTCTGCCCTCTGGTGACTCTGGCAATTCAACATAGCTATGGAAAATGGCCCATTTGAATTATGGATGATGCACGTATCAAAAGTGGTGATTTTTTTTCTAGCTATGGTACATTACCAAAGGGTTTAGCTTACTCTACTTGTTTGTCCTCGGTTTCACTTGGTGAAACCAAGCGGATTCCACCAGCTTGGGGATGCTTGCAAGACTTGCACCTAGTTTTCCCGAAGAGTTTTGTGATGGCTGGTATTACGGGTATGGCTTAAGGTTATTCACAAACAATATAGTTGTATAATCTCGAAAATTGCGGGAAAAAAACATGCGTGTGTGTTTGTGGCCATGTTTCTAACCATATCCCATATCAAGCCCCATATCTACCCCCATGTTTGAAGCGTTAACCATTCACCCATAGCAACCCATGATCAAGCCATATTGACTGAATATTGATCCCGGTACAAGTCCCACCAGAGCTCCAAAAATTAAGCACCCACCCTTGGAAATTAAACACAACTATGCAAAGTTAGCCACTACAAAGAATTTACAAAAAGGCACGACTTTTGAAAAGCAAGTGCTCCCAAGCTATTTTCAATGATTCCCATTAATCTGGGCACGACTTTAGCAACTCCCTGTACCCATTACTCCCATGGCCCTGGCTTCGGCACCTTCCCTTGCAAGAGTTCTTTGATCTCTTCCCTGGCACCTTGGGCCGTCCGGTTTGTACCCATCCCAAAACAAAAATAGAATGTGCTATTCCTAGACATATGGTGGTTTCCTAAAATGGAGGATCCCCAAGTCACCATGGGTTTCAATAGTAAAATGGCAGGGTTTTTCCATCATTGAAAAAAAACACGTATCCATCCATCGCTTCCAACTGCTTCAAGATGGGCGTCAAAGTGCCACCAGGTATTCCATCAGCTGGTGCTAAAGGTCGGGAATTCTGGTTGCTGGGATTGAAAATACTTGTGGATTGGATCATTGCCCCATTCCCCATACTAAGCACTTACTAAGCACCAGTCGGTTTTTGGGGAGGCAGAATTTCCTCCATCCGCAAAAACGTATTCTGACGGTTGGGACGGTCAGCAGCATGCAGCCGCTTGGCTTCCAGAGAACTCCTGAGTCACCCGCCAGCCGTGCCACGTGTGGATGTGGTGGAGCCCATTCTACTGGTTGGCTACTCAATATTCCTAGAAAATGGGTGATGATTCAACCATGTACCCTCTGGTAAACATAGCGAACTGGAAAATCACCATTTGGAATAGGTAAATCAACTGCGAATGAGCCATTTTCAATAGCTATGTTAAATTACCAGAGGGTAAGTTCATAACCCCCTATGCTAATGAGCCAACAAGGATATTTCTACATGTGTAGATGTAAACTGAAATGCCCCAAACTGCATTGCTACTTGCCTACCAGTTGACCAGTGTTGGAAAAATGCCTCAAAAATAGTGAGTGTCTACTTGGGGGTGCATCTCACTTAGTAAATGTGTTTTACCCCAATAATATACATATACATATATATATATATATGTATATATATATACACACCCTTTTTTAAAGTGTGCATATATATATATATACATGGGGGATTACAGGTGATATATATAGATTATGAAAACAATTAGTGGGATGCACATCCAAGTACCCTCCCACTTCAGGGGTCACAAAGTCCTTCCAGGTACCATCAGAATTGGGGGGTATCCAGTCTTCAATCACCATCTCAGCTGATGTTTAACCCCAAAAGGGGAAATATGTTTTTATATATATATATTAAATAGTATATTTACAATATTAGGTTTGTCATGCTTCACATGTTTTGTCCCCATTTCAGCTGATAAATTTCTCTCATATTTCTCATGGTTGTTGTTTGAATCGCCAAGTTCGCTGCTGAAATCCCCGTTTTCCAAGGCACGTCATGGCGTGGATCCTTGCCACTTCACTTTCTGCATCCTGCGTTGCAGGATGTTGCAGCGCTCGGAAATTCTACCAGTCATGGGTTACACTAACATTACTGAAACAGCAATGATTTTAATGTCAGTTGCAACTACCGACTTTGACAATTATTGGTCTTATTATTGGGGGTTGTCAGTGGAGCTCTGGTAGTTCATAAAACATGATATGCCTGGTGAGTAACAAAAATGATTATCTGACCTACCAAATATGGGTGAACCCACTCAAAATTTGGAACGACTAGTATTTTGATGCTTTAGTGTCTACGGTATCCATAACTGCAGGATACTGCAGGTCTGCCCATGGAAATCATTGGGATGAAACCTTCATTTGAAAGTAAGGGGTACCATTCCGATTGCACTGCATTATGCATATACCTTGATAGTGTGTCCTGTGAATTTTGTGGGTCTGTCCAAAATTATGTACCCAGAAAGATCCAGCGGTTCAGTTTATCATCCTTTTACCCATATAAAATGGAACTTCTTGGGTATACCGGTATACCAGTATACCCATTTCTAGATACAGTAAACATTCCTTATCATTCCGATTGGTGGAAAGCATCCCGAACTTGGTGCCCGAGTTGTACAATATCTCATTCCAGTTGTGGATGCCAAATCCATTTGTCTTAAAAATTGAAACCCCTAAATCCACCAAAATTCCATAGATCCTATGGTTTGGAAAATCCTGTTTTTTCCCACAATAAAATGACGATAGGTAGGGGGTTATTGGAGTATATCTCCCAATTTGGGACACCAGCCGTGTGGCGCCTGCAGTGAGGATCGCAGCTGCCGAACCTCTTCTTCGAGCTGCACTTTTCGCACCTGGTGAAAAAGTGGCACGACTTGCAGAAATGGGGGTCCAATTCAAACATGAGTCTGGTTTTTGATGTTTTCCCTACATGGCGGGTGTTGTCTCTGGCTGAAATCTACTACTGAGACTGTTGTATCATCACACATGCACAGCCACACGGGCCCTGTTTTGTCCGGACCTTCTGTGGTCAAGCAACACCCAGATTTTGGAGCCTTGCCATGGGGAATGTCCGTCCTTCACCATCCCATAGGCTGCAACCAAAGGTGCTTTGCTCACGAGTGATCCCAACAAAACGATCCGTTTGGGTGATGCGAATCTTCTGACCTCCAGTGAAACCTGTTGAGAACTTCTTGAGCCACAGTTCTTCTAAAGCCTGTCGCCGGTTCAAGACAATCACAGGCACTTTGGCACCTTCACACTTCAATCGAAAGAGTCGAAAAGCTGCAAGTCGGCGATTGTCCAGGGAATAGTAACGATGTCGAAACCAATAGATGTTCAACGGTTTCCTCGTTGGCCGTAATCAGCCATCATCCCAGACAGGATGGGAAAACCAAAAACATGTTTTGAAAAAAAAGCAACCTAATTAGAAAGAATGTGGTTGGATGGCTTTGTAAACCAAACAACAATAACTGTGATTGTGATTAAATAACCACCCAGTTTCATGTCACTGGGATGGATGCTTCCATCACACAGTTCTTTGGCAAAAGCCAAGATGTGATCTGGACCACCCGTCACGGGAGGCGCTCGAAACTTGGCACCACAAGTGTTCTGACTGAAACCAATGTCCAAGGGATCCAAGTCACCTGTCATAGCTCCAATTGTCATTCTGAAAAACAGAAACCAACATTTCAAAAATCAGAGATCTCCACCAAAAATGATTGGACTGCATGTTTGGAAAACATCAAGGCAGCTGCTTCACAAGTCGAGCTGGTTCGAAAATGCGGAAGTTGCCCTGACTTCTGGCAAGTTGAATAGGGAAAGTGGATGAAAGTGGTGTTTTATGAGTCTTGAAATTAGACCCCTGGATTTTATGGGGTTCTCATAATTTTTTTGGACAAGCCGAATTCCCATCCCCGCCTCGGAAGCCCGGAGGCTGCATGGGTTTTGGCCACGGCGGTTCTGCTTCGATTTCCTCTGCCACCCGATCCTCTGCCTCGCCCAAATACGCCGAGGGTGCAGCCAATACACCACGCCGGGCCAAAAGCCGAGTATTCCTGGCTGCTGCATCTGGCTGGGTGCAGCCAGTGACTGAAAGCTCTCAACTTCAAATCCACGAAAATACTCCAACACTTCATTGGGATGAAAGATACACATACCGTACCTAAATAGTCTCACATACGCATATATAATACAATCCCCTACTAAGCCATGGCTCCTCAGGGATGTTTAATATATTTGGGCTGGGATTACAACCAAGAAAACAAATTTAAACATCGAACATAACCTCAAGTCACCAGCTAGATTCTGGATGACTTGCGCCGCCTCCGGGGATGCCAAATCATGTCGAAGCACGAAGGTGACTTCACGCATCAGCTCATCAAGTCTCCGAAGCGTCCGCGTCACCACACCTTCGCCCCCCGTGGCAACACGACTGCTGAGCACTGCTGCTGTGAAGTCTTGTCCGGAGGCCCACTGAAAGGCCGTTTCGCAGAGCTGGGGATTCAACCGCGCCTTGATCATGGCTTCACCATCGCAACCGGATGCATTCAGCCCACAAGTCTTGCAACATGGAAGCTGATGAAAGTGGAGCTTGGAAGCTAGCTTCCGTGCCACCCTGCGGCAGATTTGGAGGCCAACACGGACGACTTTGTCAGAGATCTTGGTGCGGTCGCTGTAGGGCCCTTCAGTGACAAAGGCAGCGCAAATGGCGAAGGCTTGCGGCGCGGTGAATTTTTCAAACCCCTTCAATGCAATGATGACATCTGCCACAAGCAAAGCGTCTTCAGGCACGAACAAATGGCAAGCCATGGTTCCTTTCGGTAGAGGGGCACCTGAGCGGTCAATGAAGTCAAGCTCTTGCAGAACTTTTACCATTCGAGTTGCCTCTTGTTGCAAAGCAAGCGCAGCATTGGGGTCAGTGAACCTCTGCAAGCTTCGATGCAGCATTGTGTAGAGATGAGCTGGTCCAGCCGAGATCAGGTGTAGCAAGGAAGACCACCGGACACGATAACAGCCTGACTGTTGGTTGAGCTACCCATCCCAAGATATTGATTAATCCTCTTTAGGGATCATAAATGGACATTTCAATAATCGCAAGCAACATCAATCAACGATGACTTGAAACTACCAGCAGCTGTCGACTGGTGAAGGTTCTTCAGTGTAGAGTTGTGTCAACATCAGCTCTGCTGGTTGTCTCATGATCCGGTCACTGTGCAGCATGACATACACGTGTCCCTCCCAGTCCAAGCCCCGCCGTCCCGCTCTGCCGGACATCTGCCGAAACTCGCCTGGCTTCAACAAGCGCCGGGCGCGCCCGTCGAATTTCACCACATCTGTGAAGATCACGGATTTCGCTGGCATGTTGAGGCCAATTGCAAAGGTCTCAGTGGCAAAGATCACCGGCAAAAGGCCATCTGCAAAAAGCAGCTCCACCATTTCACGCAGAAGTGGGAGCCTGAAAATCGATTGGACGTTGGGGCAAAGGTTTACTATAGACTATACTCAATAATTTAATGTGCACAAAAATATCAAATCATATCAAATCAACAAACGCCCAAACTCCAGAACCACATGCTTGATCATTCCAAAAAGTTGGATGCCCGCACCCTGTGGTAGTGACTGAGGCAACGACATACCACCATGGTGGACCCCGATACCGCGCACCAGCAGATCACAGCTATTCTTCACCTGCGCAAGCTGCTTGTCTCTTTGATCCAGATGAGCCAGACTTCCTTCTAGCCTCTTGTGAATCTGCTGCTTGGTCGCGTTGTTGGAGAAATCCATGCGCTTTGCTCCGGCCAACAGCAGAGCAACTCTCTCACACATCCTTTTGTCAAAGCAAAATCCAATGGTTGGAAGCTCATCTCGAAACTTCAGCAGCGAAAGCAATCGCTCCAAATCCTCCACTCGCAGAGACAACGGGTCACTGGATGAGTTTGGAGGCTTTGCTGCTGCCTCAGGTACACCTTGACTTATCAGCCAGATGCTGACTCGTTCTTGGGCTTCTCTCTCAACCTTGCTGTCAGCAGCCCTCACCTCAATGACTCCTCCATCAATGTCAACTTGCGCTGATAATCCAGACATGAGGCGCTTCACGTTCTGACCCTTCTTCCCAATGAGACGTGGTGCAAGTTCGGGTGGGCATCGCCATGCTTCATCCTGCAGGATGGCCGCTCTCTGCCTCACTGCCTCCTTCAAGTTCCGCCGATTGAAGCGATTCTTCGGTGGTCGCATGATACTGAAGAAGGACCGTCTCTTACCAAAGTAATCTGGTGGGCCACATCTGAAGATGTCGTGTGAGAGCGGAACCTAGAGCTGAAGGCAAATCAAGGCATGAAACTGCAGCAATGGGTGCCAAAATTGATCATTTCACACAAAGTTGAGGCTTCGGGGCTTACGACTCATGTCATGTCCCGGCCGGAGAAAGTGAGCAAAATAGAACTATAATTGCAGCGATGGGAACGGGTCTTTGTTCAGTCACGACAACATGCATTGGCTGCGTCCGGATTCTCGCACACCAGTCTGCAATTACTCGGGCGTTAGGCATTGTCGCGGACAAAAGAACCAACTTTACATGAGGAGGCAAAAGGATTAGCACCTCTTCCCAAGCATAGCCCCGTTCAAGATCTCCGAGAAAATGTGCTTCGTCAATGACAACACACTGAAAATCGTCAAGGAGATTGGGATCTCTGGCCTGCTTGTACAGCATGCTCTGCAGAATCTCCAGTGTCATTACAACAATGGGAGCATCAGTGGCTATAACAGTGTCGCCTGTCATTATTCCAACATATTGGCCACCAAAGGCTTTTCCAAGTTCCAAGAATTTCTGGTTTGAGAGCGCCTTGATAGGTGTTGTGTAGATGGCTCTTTTCTTCCAATGCAAAGCCATAGCCACGGCATAGGTTGCAACGACGGTTTTGCCTGCAGATGCGGGCGCGCAAAACATGACAGACTCATCATTCTCCACACATGCAATTGCCCTTGACTGAACTGGGTCAAGTTTGTGCTTGAAGGTCCATGACTTTAGATTCGGTTGCAGCGACTGCGACTTTTGATCTATGTAGGAGGGCCTTACCGTGTCGTGCGAAAAACTCCAATGGGCTGCATGCCTAACCCAACTCATTTCGACACTCTCCAGGTTCTCCTCTTCCTCACAGCCGTCCGGCATAGCACCAGCATCCTGCTGCAGAAGGGTTGTTTCAAGCTCGCCAGCCGGAAGGCCAAATAGCTTTTTGGCTTCAAATGCAGCCTGCCAACCCTTAGCAAAAATGTCTGCTGTCGACAAATCTGCAGAAACTTCGACGTGGCAATTGCAGGCTCGAATCAGCGAATGCCTGATCAACATCTGACGAACACCGCTGGCGCTAGCATCCTCTAGACCATGATTTCCGGGCAGCAAATTTTGAATCACCGCTCGCAAACCTGACATCGCAAGCTTCTCTTTGAACCAGTTTGCACCCCCTCTCAACTGCTGCTTCCCGTCGGTTTGGTTTGGGTATGGGACCGAGGTGGCAACTTTTTCTGGGTCAAGGCCATTCGTCTTTCCAATTGGATTCACCGTGGTCTCCTCATTCAAATGAGTCGGTCCAACATCAGCGATTTTTTGCCTTTTCGGGTCAGGTTCATGAATGGCATCCAGATCTTCGCCATCGTCCAGCTGCATCAGCTGCATCTCATCTCCAGTCGCTGCATTAGTCCCAAGACCATCCAGCTGTCTTAGATGATCTGCATCCGAACGTGGCACGGCCTCGACCGATCCCACGTGGTCCTTTTCCTCATCCGCTGCTTCAACTTCGTCATCACTGATATCGATTGCATCGATCATGGCACAACTGGGAGGTTGGCAAAAAAATGACGAAGGTTTCTACATGGACGTTGCGCATAGCTCGTGGCTTTAAGAATGCCCAAGAAAAACTGTGTGAAACATGGTGGCTTGACCTCTTAAAATCTGGTCGGCTTCAAAGTAGATTGCGGTTCCATGGTGGTAAGATCTTGACATTGCACTGTCAAATCGAATTAGCCAAAATATCAGACTACTGCTGTACTTTTTTCAGGTTACTGGAGTTCATGGAGCTCACTGCATTGCATGTGCCCACCTCTCATCGTTTCAACTATCTCCGGTAATCAATTGTGGCAATGGATGATCCTGATGTTGAACGGGCAAATCATCTATAAATGAATAGAAATTGTGGATTCTTCCAGCTTTACCAGGAGGCTAAGCTCAAAGCGGCGGTTCCGCGAGGCGATCATAAGCCATCATTCCAGGGTCAGATTGTGAGGATAAGCGCGGCCCTGGTTTGTACCATGCCTCCCATGATAGATCCCAATTATTTGGAGGCCCATGAAGCCACCCAAATGGATTTGGACTATCCCAACAGTTTAAGCCATGACTTACCACATAACTTACCAAATCATAATGCATAAATCTCCATAGTTGGTTTTATTGTCCATAATAATTGTTAAAAATCCGTAATTTCTATAAATGTGTCCGTAATTTACCCTAAGTTTACCATACATTTACCATGAAATTATCGTAAATTCAGCATGACATAAAAATCCAACAAATTTACAATAAATCTACCATAGCTTCCCAAGGCAAATGTGTTCTTCCCACAAAACGTTGGATTATCTCAGATATTCCCACCTCGTTGGCTGCTCGCTGCCTCTCATGTTGCTGGGTTGCCTACAGGAGACTAAAGGCGATTCAGACGGAGTCCAAGAATGGGTGGTTTACACCAGAAATCAAGTGTGATGGAAGTTATATAATCCAACCAAAAATTGATGGGAGTTCATTTAAGCACCAAAATTGTGAAGAAAGTGGATCTAAGCATCTAAAATGTGGCCTTAAGCACATATTTAACGAACGACTTAGAAGGGACGTGGAGATTCAAGCTCATAATCGATGGATAATAAGCTCAGATGAGTTGTTGGGCTAAGATTCGCCCTTGACCCAAACATTATAATTATTGGTTCCCGATTTTTGGACCCATGTAGAAACTTAAGGCGACATTGGGCCAACTGCTGACCCGGGAGCTGACGAGAAATATGGTCATAAGTACATTCACAAAATCACAGTGCAAAATATGTATAATATACTTATATATATATACATATATATATATGCATACTAAGTCTTCCTACCATATCTACATCATGTCTATATTGTATATCATATCTACACACATCAGTATATCGAATGATTATCATCAAGATATTATACAAAAAATAACAATATCATCTGTATATATATATATATATAATTACATATATACATATAATATCATTATATGTATATATAGTATATAATATATATATAGTATAATATATATATATATGTATTATCATGATATGTTGTCCGTATCTCTAAATATGTCTAACGCTGCTCCACTGCGCCCAATCGCCTCCCGGGCATCCTTGCAAATGGCCTGCCACGCTGACACCTGGAGCCATGGAGCGGGAAGTTTTCCTCCAAGAAATGGGTGATTCAATGGAACATCCACCATCTAAACCTCCATTTATAGTGGATTTACCTATTAAAAATGGTGATTTTCCATAGTTATGTTAGTTTACCAGAGGGTAAACCTCCATTTCTACCCATTTTTTGGGGGGGAATGTTAGTGCCACATTTGATTCGAGGCTAGTTCATGCTTCAGGTTTTGGGCTGGCCCATCACTGCAGTCTCAATGGAAATGTTGCCAACTTGCGAATCACAGTCACAAGATGTCACAAGCCAAACTCAGATATACACTTCAGAGTAAATGGATGTTCATCCCCCCCAAATATGGTATTTCATAGGTAACCTGACATATCCCCAAATTGGACAACTCCGGCCTCCCCTTCCATTTGCATCTTGGAACTGCTCCTGTTGCTGCGCATCTCCTGAAAAGGATCGCTTCTGGCCAGTTTCTGTATGTTTTTTTTCTGCACCAATCCCCTCTGTGTTTTTTTTGCGCAAAATCACGGGATGTTAATATATGTGTTGATATTTTATATATTCTCATATATATATATATATAAACAGTATATAGGAAAATAAACCTATAATTGTATTACAATATCTTGATCCCCCCCATTCATCTTCAAATTCCATGCCCTATGACCTGGATCCCATCCTTCAAATGCCTTTGGAGTTCCAGCAACTGCCTGAGGCATCACCCAGCTCTAAAGGTTGGTTGAACACGAGATCATCATACACCTTACGCACTCAATCTTTGTTGCTTCAATTCCAAAGGTTCTGATTGACCCTCTATTTTGCTGGTTACATCATGTTACATCCCAGTTTCTTGGTTCAGCTCCCAATCTGGCTGAACCAAAACTGCCGATTTCCAGCAAATCCGGCCCCAGCCTCGAAGTATGTTGCGTTTCATGGAAGCTGTTTCGGTAGCCTACCACACAACTGGAGGACAGGGCACTTCTTTAGGTGTCTAAGAAAATCCAACGGCTTAAAACCTCAGGTTCCACATTAGAAGTTGAGTTTTGGAGCATACCCCGGTTTTTTTTAAGACACCCCCAGCTGGGACTGCCAAGCTAGAAGAAAGTTGTCATCCCGAACGGAACAGCTTTGGAAAAGTCCCCTCCAGTCATGTGGGAAAGTCACAAAATATTGACCCGTCCATCTAAGCCATCCCAAAACCTCTCAGGTTGGTCCCATATGGGGCGTGTCCAAAAAAAGAAGGAACATCAAGTTTCAAACCCATGGGGCCATGGGATTTGCAGGTGTCCCATACTTTTTGGACAAGTCCGTGTTGGTCAAAACCCTGGTATCCCGGTGAACACCAAAATCGCTGGAAAATCGCTTGTAAATGGGTGGTCATGCCCAAAAGATTTGGCATAATCCCATCCTAGTATGAAAGACTCCCCATATGGGCCACCAAAAAGAAAAAGACAATACTAAACCAACGTAGCTTTTATATCATACGTAGTAAGGGGAAGGGATTAATGGGCAAGAGTTCTTTATCCAAGCCTCCGATGGTCCTTGCAACACCATTCTCACCATGTAGGGCCATGGTACTACAGGGGCATGGTGCTGCATTGAAATACAATTTGGGTGGAAAATGCTGGATTTACCCCCGAAAATCGCTAGCCAAATGGTGGTTTTCCGATGTCTGATCCAATTCACCCATCCTCTGTCTTCGTTCCATGCATCTGTACAATTCTAGATACACCTGGATGATCCTGGATGCTTGTGACAATGCACCCCCGGTCATCTTCATGATCTTTATTCCATGGCTGTGAGCTGGTTCGAACCGGCACTGATCCGATGGGAATTCAGACTGCAAATGGTGGTTCTGTCTGGCGAATGAACCTGAAATAAGATCTGGTTGGTGGTCCTACCCCTCTGACCGCTCTGAAAAATATGAGTTCGTCAGTTGGGATGATGAAATTCCCAGTATATGGAAAAATAAAATTTATGTTCCAAACCACCAACCAGAGATAATTAAGGTCTCCTTCACATTCTCTGTGACCAAATGTTGCTACACCAAGGAGATCCATGCGAAAGTAGCCACAGCAAGTCGCCAATGTCGGACTGCTTCTCAGTTTCATGCCATGATCAAACTGCGATCAACGGGCTATGTTCCCACTTCAGCCACCTTTCGATGATGTCACTTTTTGGGCCCCTCAGAGCATGGATCCGCCCAAGCAGATTTCGCGCAGCGAATTGGCCGCAGCCCAACGCTCTTTGATTTTTGTGGGGGTTGGGTCACCCTTGTCTGTACAGCTTCAACACTGTACATATCAAGGGATGGGCAAAAGCTACAAAAATTGTCAGCCCTGTCTGCCATCCCCAGCTACGCAGGTGGCTGGGGGGGTCGAGCCCAAGGGCCGACTAAAGTCCAGCGTGTTCCATGTCCTCGCGACGAGGTGGTAAAACCAGGACTTGTCACTCCTTTATTGGCCCCAAAAAAACGGGGGCCACAAAGAACTCTGAGATGCCGAGCATAGGGGATAAGTGGTGCATCGCTCCGGTGAGTCCCACATGTTTGGGTGTCATTTAGAACTGGGAAAACATTGACCAGTCACCACCTGGGAGCAAAAGTTTGGGAGACAACTGATCCACGAGGCCACAACCGGTGACCTCGGCTAGGGCTTAGCCGTGCCTGAAGTCCCTGCCCAACTGATGATATGTTGATATTAGGAGCCAATGGTTGGGGCACCCCTTTTCACCACTGGTTTCCATGAAAGACGACCAAGACCGTGGATGATAGCTTGAGGTCCCCCATGTCCTCTATAAATCCTGATGTTGATTATTTACTAGCATATCCGCATTTAAAAAGAAACCCAGACCCTCATTATAGTGTTCCTTACATATCCTAGTACGCCCCATCATTGTTGATTCTGTGTTCCCTTATCCCCATGAAATAGATCAGTCTGTTGGGTTTTGATCGTTGTATTTCCATTATTGATGGTTGTTAGAATTTTTAACCCCATTCTTAGCCAAGTACCAAATCATTACTACATAGCATGATGGTCGTCAAATGTCAACCCCGCATTTTGGCGGGTCCATCTCACAATCTTCGTCCTTCGGAACGCCTTCCAGAGGCTCCAGCTCCAGCTTTTTGGCTAGGTTGATCCTGCGCAAATGGGGATGTTTTTTGATACCCCTACTACCTGTAAACTCAGGTTCGAAAATGAGATTGTACATTACCATAGTGGCTGTAAGCAATCCCAATGGGGGTTCTACCAGTGTTCCCACTGGTAGGGGCAGAGTTGAGGTATTCGCCGCAAAAGTACACACTTGCCCGCCAGTTGCCACCATGTTTTCAACAGACTAATTGTAGGAGACTGGGGTTGCTCATCGATGGGTCAAGACCCATCCACCCCCCTGATTCTTTACATCAAAAACGCTGGGGGAATGGCCAAAAAATGTTATATCGCTTCAGGTATATGATGATATTATAATTATGTGTATATACATACATAATATATATATATATATCACCCCATGGATATCCCCATGACCCCATTCTCCCTACGCCGGTGCTGGCTCCTTGCTGGCTTTCCAGTGGGTCCCTTTGGGATGCTGGGCATAGTGACCTGCCGGGGGAGATAACGGAGATAACTGTAATAATATGGTTAATATATGGTTAACCATTTCTGTTAATATATGGTTTATATATATATAGAGATATTATATATAGATAGTTATTATATGGTTAATGATGGTTAATGATCTTAAATGGTTGGTGGTTTCAACCTACCATTGTGGTCAATATACTGTTAATATATGGTTAATATATATATATACATGGTTATGATATGTTATGATGATGGTTAATGATGGTTAATAATAATCTGGTTGGTGGTTTCAACCCCTCTGAAAAATATGAAAGTCAGTTGGGATGATGAAATTCCCAATATATGGAAAAATAAAACTTATGTTCCAAACCACCAACCAGATAAGTATCGTTCATAGGTTGGGGCCCTCGAACGGTAGCTAAGTTGGTTTACTTGTCGAGGTGAACTAAAACTATGGCTTATGGTAGATATAACTACACTTACAGTAATGGGCGTATCAACCAACAAACAGAACTGGGCGGGCATCACCCATTTTTTGGTTTTGTTCGGGCGTTTAGCTTTGAACAAGACACAACATGTTCATATATTTTCATGAGTCTTATCTTGGTGATTAAATCATATTAAATCACACGGTTCATGGTTATAACAGGCACGTAACAAGCAGCATTTTTGAGGACACCCAGGTCCCCAGGGCCCAGAGGGCCATGATCTCAGCCCTGGACCAACATTTCTGGGATCCACTTGGTTTGCAGCTTGTCACCTTGGCTTTTGGTCATTGCATGGCGTCATCGCCCATGATTTAAAATTTAATGGGATGTAATAAATAATGCCATGGGATTTAATGGGATTTAATGATCATGGGATTAAAATCACTCGAAAAATACTAGAGGAATTTAATATGATGTAAATGGTGATTTAATGGTGATTCAATGGTGATTTTATCGTGATTGAATGCTGATTTAATGAATAATGAATGATCATTAATTATTACCATGTTGTGTTCTGCCAATTAGCGCATTTGATACATGCAAAAGGGCCAGCTCCATGCATTCTCCAGCAGATTGACAGCACAAACCAGAAACTTCACACCTTACCTGGCGGAGTTGACTCGTCTTGGCCAACGACTCTTATTACACCAGCTGCGAAGCTCTTTGATTGTCATCCTCGGCCCCCCAGGGTACAAGTTGGTTGTGTTCTAATTTCTATGTAAATGTAGCACCACAAAAAGTTAACAACAAAAAAAAGAATCGCGTCAAACAGTTTGTCATGAGTCTTGTGGTCTGCATTTTGGTACAGAAAACAAACATTGCAACAGGAAAATCCCACGTTATTTTCCATTGAAATAGGCATGGCGCAGTTGATATTCATTGAGTTCCCAACGACTTGCCATCCTTCAAAACCCCTGCAATGCCTCGACGCAGCCGTGGCAAAACATTCCCAATCTGCTGGGGAATTAGCAACCAGCAACTAGGGGAGACCAAGATTAGTCATGAAACTAGTATCAAAGTAAAGTATTGGTGTCAAATCAGTGGATATACAAGTATTTGGATGCCAATCTTCGTCAAAATCGCTTTTGGATACATAAAAATGTTGTCAAATCTTCAAATTCATGCAACCTGATATTCATTCTACATCTTCATGGAACATGTTCAGTTGATAGCTACCGGATTTCAACCTGGAGCTTCCGACCGACGACTTCACCCAAGGACTTGTGGGGCACGGCAAAGGCGATGCAATCCTTAAACCTTGGTTTGATTCAAACATCGGAGTATTTTCATGGTATGCAATAGGGTACTACTCACATGGTGTTTTTCTACGTATTTAATTTTAAAAGGTATCTATATATTAGTCTATGTATTGTATTTATAAAGGGAAATGTATAGGGTATTGCTGGGGTAGGGTATTGATCTGGCTATTTATAATCTATAGGTGCAAAAAAAATGCACAGAAAGTTAAAACGTGGCTCTAACCTAACACCTTCTACGTGAACTTATATCGTATTTGTCTATACTATTTAGAAGGTAGCTGTATGATATTTATAAGGTATTTATAGGGCATCTATACAGCATGGATAAATCTATAGATAGGGTATGTATTTATCTGGATCATGGTACTTACTTGGAAACACCATGCATAATGGCGGTGCCCCAAAACATGGATGGCTCGCGGATGTTTATCGTCTCTGGATGTCTATGGTCGCTACAAAAAAAATGTCAAAGCTCTGGTCGCAGATGTCACACAGTGCATATTGCTCGGAGAGACGACACCGCTTAAATGGAGGCCACATCCCCTCCCAAGGTGGAAGCGGTTCATAGGAAAGATTGTGCTTAGTGTAAAGTGATGGGCCCCAGGTATGGATGGTTCACAACTTTGTCTCCGACTACTTATGAGTGGGGGCAAGTCCCAGTTGGTTTGGGTTATAGGACATGTAAATAGTTCTAGTGTTGTATCGATAGAGAGAGAGAGGGAGAGGGAGAGAGAGAGAGAGAGATATATATATGTATATATATATAGAGATAGATAGATAGATAGATAGATAGACAGAGAGAGAGAGAGGGATAGGATAGGATAGGATAGATTGGATAGATTGGATAGATTGGATAGATTGGATAGATTGGATAGATTGGATAGATTTGATAGATTGGATAGATTAGATAGATTAGATAGATTAGATAGATTAGATAGATTAGATAGATTAGATAGATTAGATAGATTAGATAGATTAGATAGATTAGATAGATTAGATAGATTAGATAGATTAGATATATTAGATAGATTAGATAGATTAGATAGATTAGATAGATTAGATAGATTAGATAGATTAGATAGATTAGATAGATTAGATAGATTAGATAGATAGGTAGATAGGTAGATAGATAGACAGATAGACAGATCGACGGATGGACGGATGGACGGGTGGACGGATGGATAGATAGGTAGATAGGTAGGTAGGTAGGTAGATAGGTAGATAGGTAGATAGGTAAATAGGTAGATAGATAGATAGATAGAGAGATAGAGAGATAGAGAGACAGAGAGATAGACAGATAGACAGATAGAGGGATAGACAGATAGACAGATAGACAGATCGACAGATGGACAGATAGACGGATGGACGGATGGACGGATGGACGGATGCACGGATGGACGGTTGGATGGATGGATAGATCGATCGATAGATGGGTAGGTAGATAGGTAGATAGGTAGATAGGTAGATAGGTAGATAGGTAGATAGGTAGATAGGTAGATAGGTAGATAGGTAGATAGGTAGATAGGTAGATAGGATAGGTAGATAGGTAGATAGGTAGATAGGTAGATAGATAGATAGATAGATAGGTAGATAGGTAGATAGGTTTCCCTAGGCAGATAGGCAGATAGGCAGATAGGCAGATAGGCAGATAGGTAGATAGGCAGATAGGGCAGATAGGGTAGATACGGTAGATACGGTAGGTAGGGTAGATAGGGTAGATACGGTAGATACGGTAGATACGATAGATATGTGATAGATGTTATCGACATGTATATATATATATACATGTGCATAGACATAGACATGGATGTGGACATAGACATAGACACATAGATGTACATGTACATGTACATATACATACAGTGTGCGTGTGTATATATATATACATATATACATACACACACCATATTCCCAGCTGTACGTAGGAGGCTCCCATCATGGCCTATATGTTCCAGTTCGGACGTACTGATGTTTTTCTCGCCACGTTGCTGCCAACCTCCTCATTGAAATGGAAAATCATTGCTCAACCTGTGTGAAACCCGTGGCACTGTGCTGCCCTGCGCATCGTTTGCTCTCATCGCATCTTCCACCTGTCCGTCATGCAGACTTCGAAGGTCAGTGGATTGAGATGGGGTGTGTTACCAAATGTGGGTGATTTGACCGGCCGAACTATGGGATTTCACCAATGAATATGACATAAGGGATATTGGTTGTCTTCAAATACGGGAGTTACCCCATGTTATTGCAGTTGTCAAAGGAAAATGATACTAGACCACTTAAACCACTCAAAAAAAATAGCGGGTTCCACATTTTGCGACAAATCCATATCGAAAACACAGGCATCTGAAGCCTTCTCCATTGGGAGCCATACCTCCCAGTGGGGTGGTCAATCCCATGAATTTATTCGCTCAGTCAATAATGTTGAGCCATATATATATATATTAATGGTTAACGGTTCACGGGGGTTTACTATTTCAATGTGGATTTGCTTTGCCATCTTTGGGGGATGACGAAAAACTGCAAAACTTCGTATCTGACCAGTCAAGATGTGCCTCGAAAGGAGAAATCTTTTCGCCAGCTCGGTTGATGATTTCCTGGCGTCTCCGCGATCACCAAACTGCGCCAGTTAGGTCGGGATCCAACAGTAAACAAATCTGAAACACCATATCCTGAGCACTTGAGCAAAATCTTTGACATTGATTTGTTGAATGGGGGAATCCCCAAAACCATGGGTTTCAATACAAAAAATATACCCCCATTTTAGGAAACCTCATGGCTCTGTCTGATTTAAATTTTGGAGCCCCTTATGGCAGCGGAAGATGATGATAAGCTGACAGCCCGCCACAGCAGGAGACAAGTGCTGAGCTCCTTGAAACGTCCACAGAGGTACAAATATCCATCAGCATCGAGCCAACCTTTGTCACCCGTCCTGACGCTGACGGAGTTTTCGTGTGCCAAGTATTTCATGTGGGTATCTAGAATTTCATGTGGGAGATGGGTTTATCCAACATGGCACATACACCAAAATGGCAAGTCTCATGGAGAAAACCATGATAAACCATGTTTTCTCCATGACAAAACCATATTTGTTTGAGCAAATCCTTAAGTCATCCTGGATCCTGGGTTGTTTGACTTCACTTTGCACCAAACTCTCATGTGGGAAACTCTTAGGAGCTCCAAAGGGCTCCCAATGAATCCATTAAACAGGGAATTGATATATTCAGTTATTGTGTTTGGAAGAATATTATTAACCCAATATATTAATGGATATATTCACTATAACTTATTGGCTTTGAGGCTCTATTGAGTTAAGTCCTATTAATTCGGTTAATCGATACCTCTTTTTTAGCGGATACCCAATCGCTCCCGCGGCCCCAGTCCTGAGCCAACCATCACCAAAAGCTTCGATGTTGGGATTGGCGTCCATGTGATCTCTGAACTCATAACCTGGGGCCGTTGTAAACTACCCAGAAAGCTCCAAGGGGCAAAGGTTGAGTCTGATTGCAGTAAGCTGAAAAACATCTGCAGATGACGCTATCTTCTGAGTAACTCAAGCAGTTTCGCCTACTCACTCGATCTGGGGTCGTTTTGACACACTCTGCTACCACTGTACTTGATGTTTCTTTTGCTGAGTCCTGGATTTGCTGCCAGCATCATGAACTCCATCTGGGGCCATGCCATTGGGGGTTGCTGCTAAAAAATGGACAAAATATCTCCGGCTTCTCAAAATTTTGACCCCGCTCCATACCTTTCCTAGCCGTGTGTGCAGCCAGCACTTTCCAGGGCGTTCTGAGGGATGCACCGCTGGTCACTGGTCCATTTTTGACCACAACCTGCACACAACACAACTGGAGGTTATCACCATGAAGAGCTGATTGATTACTTCATACCCGAACCATCTGCTGGGAAAAAATGATGGAAGGGAAATCTTCCAAGATGTTCCAGGCAAAAAAATAGCAACAGCAACAATCATGACAATAAACAAAGACCAATTTATATCAACAATAAACATCATGAATCATGATACACTTCATTGTCGTGGTAAAAACTCCCCCAACTCCCCCAATTCCCCCACTGTTCCGGGCCACACCTCGCCCTCCTCTCCAACCTTCATAAAGCTGTTGTCTGGGTGACCGTTCATGATGGCCATGTCAGGGCCGGCCTGGACAGGCCGACTTGGCGGTGTCAAGTAGGAAGATAGCTATGGGTTGATATGTTTTATTCATATATGTGTATATATATATACATATATAATATATGTACATAATATATTACAAATATATATATATATACACATAGTATAGATATACATGTATAATATGTATACATATATATATATATGTTATATTACATTATAACAACTTGTAGCATACATGTTCTTATGTATGTTCTGACAACTATGCAGGTGCTCAATTTGTTGCCTCAGCACCTTATCCACCCTCGAATTGCCTGCAAGGACCAGGACCTTTGTGAATGGGGTCTCAGAATCGTTTCACTGTCCTCCAAAGAATGGCACAAGCATTTTGGGAAGAAAGAAGCCTGCGGTTTTTACACGAGGGGGGTAAAGCTCATTGGTTTGGAGAGGCACAGTGAACAATGGGTCAACCATGATTCCTCCACAAAAAAGGTGGATTATTTTGATTATTTTTTGCAAGAAGGAAAGCGAGGTTTCATCAAATTCGTTGGGTTTGTCTGAAACTAGAGTACTTTGCCCATCTATGATTTCTCATAATTTGCCCATAATTAAAAATGCCACAAATCAGGTGGCAAAATCACCATGCTCATCTATCATATCATTTTTCTAATAAATATACATGTGTATATATATATAACAATGGACCGTGTGGAAAAAATATATAGATAGATAGATAATGATAGATAGACATCTACATCCACATGATTCTACCCATTTTGCTCAAAATGTTAAGGTCCTCCGCATCCTCCGTTGACCCGCCTTCATCCCAACAGATCGCAGCTTTCGCTTTCCGTAGCGAGGATTCGAGGCGATCGGCATCGACCTGAGTGACTTCTCGTGGATTCTTATGGCCTCCAAGTAAACTAAGAAGAATGAGCAATTTATAGGGGACTTATAGGGATTTATAGGGATTTAGAAGGGATTTATAGAGATTTATAGAAATTCATGAAGATAGAATTGGGAAGATAATTACAATATACCCTGGTAATCAAACATTGCTAGCTGGGAAATCCGCGAACCAGAAGGAGATTTATAGCTGGGAAAATGATCCATAAACGGGAGATGTTCCACGCCACGTTTGAGTACCGTTTCGGGTAGCTATGGCACTCCTTCTGTCGTGCTTCCCGAAATGATCTAAAAATGGTGGATGTTCCATACATTTCCATAACCGGATGGCGAGTAGGTATTGGGATTGTTGTAATTGGATGGTTATAACATGTTATAACTTATAACCAAAATACTGGATGATGAATTGTCATATGGATAGTTGCAATCACGGAAAATTAGATTCGTACAACCCAAATAATGGATTTAGCCAGCGAAAAAAGGGTTTTGAGATCATGGAAAAGTTTGCTTTGACCGGCAGCAATGGGTTTTACACAGCCAATTTGGGGATGAAAGCAACTACATACTAAACAAAAATGGTGGCTGAATGAGCAAAGATGGGGCAGGGTACAATCCATGGGAATTGCGGATCATAGCCACCAATGATACGGTGGATGTTGCGAAATCCTGCACCAGTTGATAGGTGGTTTATCCGTTGATCCCATTATTTATAGGGTTTCAACCATCCAAGGTGATGCAGGATTTCTTCCATCCACAGTATGGATATAGGTACCACGGTGGTCTTTTTGATCATCTAACCGCTAACCATCCACATGTCTGGTGTCCACATCTCTGGAAGTGGCCACATTGGAATCTTAGTGAAGATCAATGCCATGCTCGTTGTCCAGAAAAACACGGTTGCTGTACAGAAGAACCCAGCTCTAAACTGGTTGAAGTTGTCTAATATCATCAAATATCCAGAGAGTCTTGAAGGAAACTAAAAAAGGTTCAGCAATCCATTCATCATTTTCCGAGATTCAAAACATAACAAGACCAACCAAGTGTTTCATCATTTCTGCCTAGCCTCCTGAAAACTAAGATGTTGATTTTAGGCTGTGGAAAACGATGTTTTGCGCTTTGGAAACGGCCAATCTGTGTGGAAGTTCGATGTGACCACAGATCAACATCTGGCACCTTTTTGTTCCCCTCAAAACCGCCAGTGGCATCAATGGCATATCGCTTGGGCTGTCCCACTCTGTCATGGCATAGGTTGGCATCACTGCCACCTCGTCATCGCGTTTCCCGGCGGTCCCAGATTCTCACCCAACTAATCCATGGGTCCTGTCATCCAAAAAGAAGGAGAACCGTTTCGAGAATTGTCAATTTGTTGTTTTGTTTGGTCTTCTCTTTCGCCATCCCTTTTCTTTGCATCATCTGTGTGTGTGTGGAATTGATATTTGCGAAATCTTCGTAAATTCGTATTTTCATGCTTTGTTGTTTTCCTTCGCAGAGTTTTTTACCTTTCTTTTTCATTTAAAACAGGACCACCCAATCAAAAACCTAATTACAGTTGTCTGTATGTTACTTCTATCATCAGCTATATAAACTACCTAGCAAGACCTTTACATGACCCATTGTCCATCTCCACTTTGTGTAGCCAATCTTAGCTAACATTTGTTCGTGAGTGTGTTTGACTTACCAGTGTTCAATATCAGTACGTCGCTAAACCCAACGAGAAACCATCCCAAGCCACGCCAGGCTGGAATGCATTTTCACGAATGGGCTCCACGTATACTTACCATGACGTAGCCCTACTTGTTGCTGGTGAAATCCCATTTTATCCCCATCTATCATCTATAGTTTGTGCAAACTTACATGTTTTATATTGCATTGCCGTGTGCTGGCTACATATCCTCAGTTTCAAGCAGACAAAATGATTAAGCTTAAATCCGCTTTTGAATATTGGGGTTGTTGGTAAGATAAGTGTTGATAGGCTCTTGCTAGCCAAAAAATCTAAAGAATTTGGTAAACCTAAACCCCAGGTTGATAATATATATATATACCTAAGCCTGCCGGCTTGGTAAAATTTCTTCCGCCCGCCCCGGCTAAAGCAATTATTGTCGCTTCAGTAATTTCTGCCGTCTCTGCCAAAAACTTCCGTTCCAACTGTTTGGCGGGATTCTTGCCGTGTCAGCTGCCATTCTTGCATTTTTCGCACTTTTTTGATATTCACACACTCTGGGGAACATGGGCAGGTATGTAGCATCTCAAAGTCCAAATATGCATTGAAAACAACAAAAATAACTTAAGCCGTTTGGTTGGAAATTTACGCCGTTTGGTTGGGAATTTATGCTGTTTCAGTTTATCACTTTTTTGGTAGAGGTTTTCAAGATGGACACATGAGTTATGCGTTCTTCATGCCACACCTGTGGAAATGAGAGAATCCCATTCCACTCAAAACATCACAATTGGCTGGAACCATCCAAAATCCAAAAACTTCCGTCTCATCATAAAAGCTCCGTTTTGAGGGTTGGCCCCTCCAAAAGTTAATTTTTCACCAAACACAAATAATTTTGCTGCCTCGGTTGTTCTAGGTATAGATTGCCCAGAACAGCAAGAGGATGAAAGTTGTACACAGCCATCCATGGCAAAGACTGCCGCTTTCCAATCCAGTCTTCCGTTCTTAGGCATAAGATAGAACAAATCCCGCAATGGCTCTAAAGAAATCTGACTGCGGTAAGAGACACGTACGTTGGAATGACAATACGATGCAATTTCAACATGCGGATAAAAAAGTCCACCAGTCGGCCCAGAATGTCCAGACTGCCAACCTAGCATGTTTGATTTGAGGCGCTCGCAAGCCAGGGTGCAAACGCCAAACCATGCGTTGCGCATCACATGTCAAGTTGGAGTAAATCAAAACTATGCTAAAGCAGAAGAACTGATCCGTGATCTGCCATGTCATTCATATGAAACCTCTCAGGAGTCTAAGGGGAAAGGGCTGCAGCTCGTCAAGATGAAACACTTCTGTCCTGGTGCTGTACATCCCCATTTTGAGGTTGGCTAAGCCAGGTGTAACCCCCGTTTTTGATGCTTAACCATCATATTTCAGGATTCCATCTCCCTATGCATTCTTGATGGTCAAACTACTAGATTTTGATTGCTAAATCCCCATTTGAAACTCCATGATCCTATCGATCATATGAACTCAATGGGAAAAGTTATTGTTCATGCTTTACCATTTCATGTTCAGTTCATGTTGCTTAATTCGTAATATACACATACATGTGTACATATCTATATGTGCAGTATATTATAACATGTATATATATATATCATCATCATCATCATCATCATCATCCAGAAGTCGATAGAGAATATGAAAACGTTCATTGTTCTGGTGATTTCTGTGGGGATCCCCCACCTTCAAGACCTCCTCCATGGCACAAGCGACGGTGGGGACCAGGGCCGCTGAGCCTTGGGAACACCAGGTTCTGGGCTGAAAAACGTTATTATCAAAAAAAATAGTGGACTTAAGTTGATTTAAGTTGATTTAAGCTCATTTAGGCTGATTTAAGTGGCGTTAAGTTGACTTAAGATGATTTAAGCTTATTTAAGTGGATTTAAGATGATTTTAAGATGATTTGAGATGATTTAAGCTGATTTAAGTGGATTTAAGTTGTTTAAGATGATTTGAGTTGATTTAAGCTGATTTAAGTTGATTTAAGCTGATTTAAGTTGATTTAAGCTGATTTAAGTTGATGTAAGCTGATTTGAGATGATTTGAGATGATTTAAGCGGCTTTTAGTTGATTTAAGATTATGAAGATAATTTGAGATTATTTAAGCTGATTTATGCTTATTTATGCAAGTGGATTTAAGATGATTTAAGATGATTTGAGATTATTTAACTGGATTTAAGTTGATTTAAGATGATTTGAGTTGAATTAAGCTGATTTAAGTTGATTTGAGCTGATTTAAGCTGATCTAAGTGGATTTGAGTTTATTTAAGCTGATTTAAGCTTATTTAAGTTGATTTAAGATGATTTGAGATTATTTAAGCTGATTTAAGTGGATTTAAGTTGATTTAAGATGATTTGAGTTGATTTAAGCTAATTTAAGTTGATTTAAGCTGATTTAAGTTGATTTAAGCTGATTTAAGTTGATTCAAGCCGATCTAAGTTGATTTAAGCTGATCTAAGTGGATTTAAGTTGATTTAAGCTGATTTAAGATGATTTAAGATAGTTTGAAATGGTTTAAGATGATTTAAGAGGAATTAAAAGGATTTAAGATTATTTAAGTTGATTTCACACGTCTTAAGATGATTTGAAGGTGATGTTAGGATGTTTGAAGCCAATAAATCTGAGCTTTCATGCGGTTGGGAAACTCCGAGTTAGTAGCTCCAACTGGCTCAACTCCTACTTAGTAGCTCCAACTGGCTTCCCATTTTTTGCAGGGAATTGGGATATCCAACCATAGCTTAGCTCACCGCTCCCTCCGTTCACCACTAGAGATGTAAGATGTTTGAAGCGAACAAATCTGAGGTTTCAACCAAAAACTATCCAAAACTAGCAAACAAAACTTGGTTCCAACTCAAAAATGGGGATGACCAGGAAATGATATGAACTAACTGTAACTAACTGGAGAATGCTCATAACAATCGTCGCACAAGATCCAACTCTGGGGGGATTCAGCTCCGCAGACTGAGTTCCTGACAGTTTCTCACCAGCTCCAGCTTGTTCTCAGGCGGTTTGCCCTGGAAATTCAGTGTCCATGGTGGCAAGTCATGTCACGATTTCGTTTTTGAGCTTCAGAAACCTAGGTTTTTGACCCAGCTAGTGGGCACTGGCCACTATAAACCATGGTTATCTACTTATGTCTATTATTGTTTATGTATGTGTATCTATATATATATATAATAGATATATACCGAGTCATATTCGGATCAGTATCTATGATCCACTTACGAACATGCGGATGCACATCCTGGCATAGGAAGTCCAGGAGCAGACGCCATGATCAGTTTTGGTCAGTCTTGGTGTCATGCCTCCGTTGGTACCACAAACTAAGACTGTATATATATATATGTGTGTGTGTAAAACCAAGGGTTGACGTGATACCAAAACTGACCATGAATTGTAGATGCCCTGTAAACTCATATAGATGGGGAATAAACATGATGAATGTGGATCATCGGAAACCATGGATTCTTCACATATGTCTGCATGTTTTCCCTATGTAAACCATGAATGTTCGGAGATTACTGTGATTCAGATCCATGACCAAATGGATGGGTTTTGCGTGCAAAACAAACCACCAAATTGGGGGTATAACGAACCTCAAAATGGAATGACCAGACAATATGTGAATTCAAGCAAACAAAAATGGTCTGGTATTTGACAACAATACTAAGGATGACGTGTTCTGTCAATGTTCACCAATATTCTGGGGATATGGTGATAGGTATGGCTCAAGATAAATGACTAAACCCTGAATGTTTGGGATATATCCTGGAATATACCGGTGTACATCCACCAGAACTTTTGAGTTAAGGAATCATCCCAGTGGGTCTTTCCGTGAATCTGGTCTTTTCGGGAACATATTTTCAAATTATGAATCTGAAACAATAGACAAATCCTGAAGAAGCAACAAATGTGCTTCGCCATCTTGGTTTCCAGTTGTTGGTATGCCATGAAGATGTTCCATTGGGAGTAATCGGCGTCTGCCCCGCTGCTGAATGTGTCTTCAGCCTTCACCATTTTCCCTCTTCAAAAAAAGACATGCATATATATATATAATATGTATATGGGAGCTGCGCGTTTTTCGGGCCTCAAGCACAGCAGCAGGTGTGTAAAGAGATTTCATTGAAGACTCCTATGGTATTACATGCCTCAGGCTGCAGATGATCGATGTTCAAAGCAGAGTGCGCCTTTTTCATGATTTTACTACCATCAAACAAGTAGAAAACAACATGCCTATAAGAATGGTAATGATACATCCATACACCTATACATATACAGATACCTATCGATATATAGGCATAGGTATGAATTGTGGAAGAACTGTTGGCTTTAAGTCTTGTGTGTATACGGCGTATACGGTACATACCCAAGTTTGCACATCAGGCAACAAGAAACTACAAGGACCTGAAAGCAAACGCGTCAAACAGCTGAGACAATTCAGTTTGGTAGAAATATGCCAAAATTCTGCCTTTTTTGCTTTGAAATATTGTATTGTATTGAGCCGATGAATATCAGAGATAAAATGTCAATTTTGCCCGGTTGCGCCATGCTCAAATGATAGGGTTGTGTTTGCTTCTATGTTGCATGTCTTTATAGCAAGCGTGAACACGAGGAAACAGCACTTTTGATTGACAGGAGATTTCATTTTGTCCCCAAGCAGTACTGCATCTTCCTGACAGAGTTCCCTGCATCATAAAGAGATATGGAATGCTTTGCAAGGGTAAGCATACTGTTCCCTTGAAAAATGTTGTGGTTTTATACAAACCCTAGTACAGTATCAACGCAGATTTTAAGGGCAACAGCATGCTTCTCATAAGTCATCATTTAAAATTTAAAAGAATGTGGCATTCCTTCAGGAAGTTGTGGCATACCTCCATGCAACATTCTTCTACAGAGAGGGCAACATTCCTTTGAGAAAGTGTATCATGACAGAGAGGGCAACATTCCTTTGAGAAAGTGCATCATGACTTTGAAGCAAGACACTGTGATATGCATGGCATTCCTTTAGAAAAAGTCCGTTATGTCTTCCATATATTTTAATAAAAAATTGTCACACCTTCCATAGAGGTAGTAGTCCCTTTAGAGAAGGGCGGCGTTTCTTTAAGATATAATTTGAATAATATTTAAATATACATTAGAGTTTTTCAAAAGTGCGTCATTGCTTTAAGACAGTACTTGATGGTTTCATGAAATATTGGCTTAAACAACGGTGTTATGCAATATTCCTTTGAAAAAATATTATTATTTTTGAAAATACAGTGTCATTTTCAAATAGCGTAATTCACTGTATGATATTACTACATATATGTATATACACATGTATACACAATATTCCTTTGAAAAAGTGTGTGTTTTGCCTTTTTGAGATGCCTTCGACAAGGAGGAGGCATTGCTATTTGTGAAGCGGACACATGAGATAACATAAGATGATACACCACATACTGACATACCATACGATCTTTATTGCCATACACAAAAACATGGGCTCAGTGCATTTTCCATGCCTGGGGCCCGGAAAACGCACCGAAGCCATATATATATACTACATACACAATTAGAAGATACAAATACATACTACAGTAATCCACCATGTTCAGACACACCCAAAAATATATCACGTTGGTTGCAAATCCCATATACAGTATATCCACATAATATATGGTAATCTATGGTTTGTTAATGGTACCATCCCTAACCGCGATGGTCGGTCAGAAATCCACCGACCTTAATGCACACAACACCCAAACATCACATCAAGTTGGTTATACATATAGTACAATGTGTAAATATATATATATATATCACATTAAACAAATACATCATAATACATCTCATGAATGTCCCCATGTTCAGACACAACAAGTCCGCTACCTTCTCTTTCGCCACTTCCTCTGCAAATTGCAAGATCTGCAGGTGCATAGTCGGCACCTCAAAACCCCGGGCTCAGGATCAAATCCCACCGATTGGTCCAGGATGATGGGGGATGTTACCAACATGTAGACAATTATGCGCGTTGAAATATAGTCCTCGTGATTTGCTATATGGAAATGGATTGAAATGTAGTCCATTACCGTATTTCATATATCACGGCTCTATGGAATGGTTTGAAATGATACTAATGTTGCTTGGGAATTCACCATCAACAATTGGTCGCTAACACAAATTATACCATATGGAATGGGCCCCCAAATGCATGAATTTGCCATTGAACCACGATTTTGTTCTGGGGTATTGAATTTTCGGAGGGATTATCAAGGTCTGGTGCCACATCTTGCAGGGCAAACTCAGATCTTATTCAAGCAAAAAAAAAGTCATTTTTAGAATCCTGCAGATTTGCACCCACCACCTTCTGATGAGGCGAACTCAACTGAGACGTTTCCCGTTGGGCATCCCGGGCTGCAGAGTACCAATTTGGCGCCGGTTCGGAAACCAGGCCTGCGTGGAAGTTCTGTACCTCCGGAGACAAAAAAACTGCTGAAGCTATGGAAAAATCCAACGCCCAAGACCTCCGGAACTGGCCACTCTCCCAGCCTGGAAGATTCCAGGGAGACACACCACCTGCCACATGTCAGTATGGCACTTTGAGGCTGGGACACCAAAAGTATGGAAATCAATTCCTGCGGAAACATTGGGGACTTGCATTTCTATCGTTTTGCGAAGGCCTTTTTTCATGCTCTTGTCTGCATATAATCCATTGATACTGATTGCTGAAGCTCTTGGTGAATCGGATCCTATTCCGGTTCCAATTCTCAGGCTTACGTCTCCCATTTCTACGCACATCAGTTGTGTCATAATGACGAGGCTTAAAAACCCAGTAATCCTATTTAATCGTCACATGATGATGGTTAATAAACATTGTGGACCATGTCCAACCCATGAAAGTCCTCACTTCCGTCGGATCATTCAAAGCCCCAAAGCCAAGTCCCACCTGCGACCCCGCCACTGCTGAAGCCAAGATCTGAGATGTTAAGAACGGCCAAAGTGGAGATGTCACCGCAAATTAATATCTTAATCAGCGAAATGTGAGAGATTAAGTGATTTAAGCCACAAGAATGGAAGCGCACAAGACGGTTGGCACCAGAAGTTGAATCAACAACGTCCAAAAATTCTTGGTGTGGCTCAAACATGGGGTCAAACATGGGATAGAGACCCACTAAACTGATCATGGCAATTCACCATCAAGTTTTGGGGGTAAATAAGTTTGGATTCTATCCACGTCTGTTCGGCAAGCTCTGGGAACCCCTGGCATTGACAATGAGACCATGGATGTGAAAAAGCCTGAACCGTGACGCGCCAGGGAAGCGGCACAGAGTGCACAGCGACTTCCGTGGTACTCGAACATGGTTTGCTGGAAAATCACCCCCGAAGTGCGATATTTTGGTCCATTGAAATGTCCATGGATAGGGGTTTCCCAGCCGGCGATTGGGTGGTTCCTAGGTACCCATGTGGTGAGCTCTCTGAAATATGGAGTTTGCCATCAATCATCTCCAAGGCAGACAAAAAGTGTAAGTTCCGGGCGGCATGGTGTTTAAGCAAATGTGTTCCTTGGTCTTAACACGCTGCTGGAGGATCATGTTTCTGGTGACTAAAATGGCATCGATACCCATGTATGGCCATTTATAGTACAATGCGGCAATAGTGACTCATCATCAAATTTTATCAAATTTTCAGGTACCAAATGGTACCATATTAAATACCCAATTTTGTGGCCATTTCCTAACAACGTGCCCAAAGCAGCTTGCCCATTAGACGAAGCCATCACCATCCCAGAGGGCCCCGACTGGCTGGAGTTCAACCTGAGTTGCGATTCCGGTAACCATTGAAACACGGTCAAGAATGGAAGTTGCTCATGGAACTTCAGACTTCAGAAAGAAAATCCAAACTATATACATAATTGGTATTATTATTACTAATAATAATAGTTCAATAATCATGATCAAACTATATAATGGTGATGCATACGGCATACTTGATGGATAGCTCCCCTCTGCCCACGCTGGGCTTTCAGGCAGTGGATGCAATGCACTTGGCACCGCAGGCAATGTTTGCATGCCTTGGAAGGGATGTGCCAGGCAGGTACACTTCATCATTGCGCGATACATGCAGCCATGGATATGTTGTCCATATAAGTTCGCCCCAATGCTGGCTGGGTAAATACAAGTATTTGGTAGTTGAATTACCAATTTAGTTTGTTCCATCCCTGTTTTTAGTAGTTACATATCAATTCCAGACGGTTAAAACACCATTGTTTGTTGGTTAAATCCCCATTTTGGCTGGTTATGTACAGTACATGTTACATGTTTGTCTCTTGTTTGCAGAAACCACTATTTGCCCTATCAAAATTGCAATTTTTGCGCGTATTCCCCATGTGCTGCCGCAACTCTTTGTCAGTTGTCGAAATACCTGACAGACAGCCATGTGTCATAGTCGAATCAAGTTGCATCCCCAATTTGTCCATCTTGAATCATATTAAATCCCCGTTTTTCATGGGTGTGTCAAAACTAAATCCCCCACATCCAGCAGCCATCCACCCATCGTCCGTTTCGGTCCCGTGACGTCAGCAGCACGATCTTCGGCTTCTTGGTGGTGCCGGAGGTGTGGAGCACCAGGGCCAGCTGGTCACCTCGGGCATTTTGCTGGTGGATCACAATGGACCAAATGATGACAGTAATAACTGAAAAGTGGCAGTTTCCCTGCCTGCGATTTTTCCTACATGCCTGATGAAGTGACAGTCCCTATGTCAAAACCGCTCTTGCAAGAATTTGTGTTTCATAGTGATGAAAAGGACAATGATAATCGAATGAAGTTTAGAAGTCAAACTTCCGACAATATGGACAGATGGAAAAGCAGAGGTGCGAAGAGTCAGAGAAGAGAAGAGCAGAAGAGAGAAGATCAGAGAAGAGAAAGATTGAGAAGAAAGAAGACGCAGGCGCGCGAAAAGGTAGAAAAGTCACGATTCACTGTGTTTTTCCAATGATGTGTGGCTCCGGAGGGTCGAAAAGTAGGCTCGCTAAAGCGGCGGGTGCGGAGCCATCTGGCCAGATGAGAGATGAAAAATTGCACGCTGCTTTGGTGCGAAGCACATTTCCAAGCCAAAATGTGCAAAACACACCGTTCTCGGACCACTCTTGGAAATTGAGAGGTGCAGTACAAGAGACATGTTAGGCAGAGCTGTTCGGAGGTCAGGGCGCTGATTCCCTGAGAGCGGTTGCATTTTGGAGCATCAGATCTTCAGGTTTGCTGAGATTATTTTGCGTGACAGGTGCAGCACTTCTTCGTATGACTTGGCATCACTTCTACGTGGCAGGCGCAGTACTTTAGACAGATGGAGTGGAAAAATAGCAAAACGCTTTGGCATGAAGCCGTCAGCTCTGCACTCAACTTTCCATTATTGAAGGAAGTCCCGCAGAATTGCTTCGCTTTTGATGTTGCCAAATTCAAAAATTGAGGAAGTCTCGCAGGATTGCTTCCTTTTTGACATTATCAAGTTCAAAAGTTGAGGAAGTCTCGCAGAATTGCTTCGTTTCAAACTTGCAGATAGATAGAGAGAGAGGGAGAGAGAGAGAGAGAGAGAGAGGGAGAGAGATAGATAGATTAGATTAGATTAGATTAGATTGGATTAGATTAGATTAGATTAGATTAGATCAGATTAGGTTAGATTAGATTACAGTAGATTACAGTAGATTAGATTAGATCAGAATAGGCTAGACTAGACTAGACTAGATAGATAGATAAACAGAAAGACAAATAGATAAACTGATATATAGACAGACAGATGGATAGACAACTGCAACTGCACTACACCGCACTACAACTACAACTTTAACTACAACTACACTACAACTACAGCTACAACTTCAACTACACTTCAACTACGCCTCAACTACACGAACTACAGCTACAACCACAGCAACAACTTCAACTACACTTCAACTACAGCTACAACCTCAACTACAAGTACTACAACTACAACTGCAGTTACAAGTGCCACTACAACTACAACTACAACTACAAATGCAACAACTACTACAACTACACTACAACTGCAACTACAGCTTGAACTACAACTACAATTACACTTCAGCTACACTACAACTACACTCCAACTACAACTTCAACTTCAACGACACCACTACTACTACTACTACTACCACTACCACTACCACTACCACTACCACTACTACTACTACTACTACTACTACTACTACTACTACTACTACTACAATTACACTACAACTACAACTACAACTAGAACTACAGCCACAACTACAACATTACAACTTCAACAGCATCAACCCCACTACAACTACAACTACAACTACTGAGCACTACACCACACTACATCCAGGAGTTGTGAGTGAGGTGACCACTGCAACCATTGCAACCACTCCAAAAGCAGAACTCCAACCACCTTTCGGTCCACCAGTGGATTCGCTCTGCCATCCATGCATCACAACAACTCACCTCTCCTATAGTGTCCTATCCTTGAAACTTCCGCCACCGCCTTGTGCGGTACTGCTGGTAAAGTCTCATGGTGATAATATTAATATCAGAATAGTAATGATGACAATAATAGTAATAATGATGATAAGCGTAATAATGATGATACTTATAATTATAATCGATGATGAGAATGATAGGCACACTGACAATGATAATTATGTGATTACAAGTTATGATGCAATCACGATTATATAATGATGATATATGATGATGATCATGATTGTGACAGTATTAATAACAACAGCAAGAGTAGTGATAATGATATGTACAGTGATGGATTGTTGTGAATACAAGAATGAATGCAATAACGAGAGTGATAGCGATAGTGATAGCGATGACAACTGGATTTAGGAACCAGGCTCGCTGAGTAGTGACCCCAAAGAATTTATGATGGTCATCTACTCTTGAAATACTTTCGCAGCCCCAAATGAAACCATTATCCTCCGTTTGTTCATCTTCATTACCCTCTGGTAAACTAACATAACTATGGAAAATCACCATTTTCTATGGGTAAATCAACTATTTCTATGGCCATTTTCAATAGCGAACTGTTAGTTTACCAGAGGGTAAGCAGATTTGCGATCTTCATCCTGGGTTCAAATGACCCGAAGGGCCCACAAAGTTGCGCCATATCCGCGCCCTGAGATCCCCAGCGTTTCACAGATGCCAACGGATTTCCCATGGCATCTCCCTGCAGGCGATCACCAAACTGGTCCCTTCAAAGTTGACCAAACACCGCCCAAAGCTAACTCGACTTGTCTAAGTCTAACAGTCTAACCTAAGCGAACTCTAACCCAACAGTAACTCTCTAAGTCTAACCAACCTACCGAACTCTAATCATAAAACCTAACCCAACAAAACCAAACCTACAGTAACTCCAAACCAGTCCCGTCCCGTCCTCATCGCCCCATCGGGTCGCGCCTTCAAAGGCTTTCCGGCGGCATGCTTCGTCAGCTGGAAGAGACCTGCCACCTCCTGGAGCTGACGCTTGGATCATTTGGTGAACGGTTATGGGTTTATGGGGAATATGGGAATATAACTAACCAACTAACTGGTTTATCATGATTTATCATGGTTTATCCTGGTTTATCATGGTTTATCATGGTTTGTCATGGTTTGTCATGGTTTGTCATGATTTATCATGGTTTATCATGGTTTATCATGGTTTGTCATGGTTTATCATGGTTTATCATGGTTTATCATGGTTTGTCATGGTTTGTCATGGTTTATCATGGTTTATCATGGTTTATCATGGTTTATCATGGTTTGTCATGGTTTGTCATGGTTTATCATGGTCTATCATGGTTTATCATGGTTTGTCATGGTTTGTCATGGTTTGTCATGGTTTATCATGGTTTATCATGGTTTATCATGGTTTGTCATGGTTTGTCATGGTTTATCATGGTTTATCATGATTTATCATGGTTTATCATGGTTTATCATGGTTTATCATGGTTTATCATGGTTTGTCATGGTTTGTCATGGTTTGTCATGGTTTATCCTGGTTTATCATGGTTTGTCATGGTTTGTCATGGTTTATCATGGTTTATCATGGTTTATCATGATTTATCATGGTTTATCCTGGTTTATCATGGTTTATCATGGTTTATCATGGTTTGTCATGGTTTATCATGGTTTATCATGGTCTATCATGGTTTATCATGGTTTATCATGGTTAGTTGGTTTCTATATCCCATAACTATTTATATCCCAATTACGGGAATACAACATAATATAAATATAGGGAATATGGGAATATGGGTGATATGTAGTTATGGGAATATAACCATAATATAACTGGCTTGTCTATAGTTAATGGGATATAGAAACATACTATTTTTAGATAACTGGCTTATCTATAATAACCATAATATAAATATAGTTATGGGATATAGAAACCAACTAACTGGTTTATCATGGTTTATCTATAGCTAGCAGCTAATGGGTTTATAAGACCAACTAACTGGCTTGGTTCACCTTGTTTGGAAATAATAGGTACAGCTAAATCATCGTAGTAAATGGGCCATGGCTTCCACAGCTATGTAACAAATTACTGGAGGCTCATCCCATATTTGTTCAGTGCATTGGTTTGAAGATGTTTGATTGGAGATTCTCGCGGAAGGGCCAGGTAAATCAGGTGAATTCTTAAGCACTACATATAAAGAAATCATACAATGGCAATCAAATATGTAGGTTCCTGTACGTTTTCCCCAGAGATGTACCGGAAGTGAGCGTTTCATGCCACCGCGTCAAGATGCTGCGCACCTTTGAAGGGGTCAGCTCCAACAGCTTCTCAACCTGTGCGTTGGAAAAAAACGGCCACGACTCACGGATGGTGAGTCGCCATTTGGCATCGCTGGGTTGGTAAATTTTGAGTTGGTTTGTAGAAAGATCCCCCATTTGGATGGTGATGTGCTTTTCTAACTTTCTTCGGACTTCTACTGCAGGAACACTAGTAGGAAAAGGGTGTTTATCCTGCCCAAAGATATTGGCGCAGAAACTTGATGTTGCTTCAATGGTCTTTGAGGAAAAGGAGATACCAGTGTTGGAAGGGCTAAAAGTATTTTTTGTGTTAAAGATACAGATGTTCTGCAAAGGTTTTCAGTTTTCAAGAATCTGGATAAATTACAATCATTCGCCCTGAAAAGTTCGGCCATTTCCGGATGGTCCCAATTCTAACCAGCCCTGTCCCATCATTCGCGCAGCGCAGCGATCTCGCGGAAAAAAATTGCGCGCCTTGCATTTCCGGGCCACGCTCACTGCATTGCCCGTGTTTTTCTGATCTTCCTCACTTAGACCGTCCTGCACGGGGACAGGGTTCAAGTGTGGGGTGAAACAACGGAGGTGAAGCAATGGATTTGTGGAAGGCGTTTGTTTTTCCGCAGCGGGATACCCATATTTGTTTGAAGATATCAGGCTAAAACTTGAAGAAGCTACAGGCCCATAGGCTACATAGGGTTTATTTGGGATTTTGCTCTCCAAATTACAAGAGAAATTGGGAAGACAGCACAGCTTTTCACTGAGACCAAGATGCTTGTTACTACTGGCTTATTTAGACCAGAGTCTAATGAGTCATGATTTGTCATTCTGTTTTGCTGCAAATTATGAAGTCCGGCCATCTGTACTGGCTTACCCTCGGGTACTCCAACCTGGCTTTGATGGAAATCCCGTATCTATCATTATCTATCCATGCATGATGTTCCTCTTCAAAATGGTTGATCTTCGGAAGTTCCAAGTTTCAGCGTAGAACTCAAAGTCATTCAAACTTCTCATTTCACTTCCTGGTGAAATCCTCATTTCTGCAGCTTTGTTGCTTGAAACTCCCCCCCCGCCAACCTCGCCTTGGTCTGGACTACCAGCGCCTGGTGATTTTTTCGAAAAATTGTGGATAGTAGTGCGATGAAACAACAAACATGTGGAGATTATTTTGGGATTATTTTTCGATTATATGGGGATTAAATGGGGATTAAGATTGGGATTGTACGAGGATTATATGAGGATCGATGGACTTGATTGTAATTTCTCGGAAGATTGAAGATTTACTGCTGCTGCTTTCTGACAAACAAATAGATGGGGGTTGTTGATGATTGTTGGTGGTATTCATTAACATGGGGATGAATCAACGAATTTGAGGCACTTTTGTTCCGGATGATTATTTGATATGTGGCCAGCAACAATGATACATTGTCAGATATCGTCCGTCTTCCTTTGTCGTGTCCGCTCACCCTGCCATCGGCACATGCCTTGGCTGGAAGGTCCGCAAATTCAAACTCAAACCTTGGTATTGTTCGGCTTGTTTTCAACATGCGAATCGCTTCTCAAGGGGAAAGGCATGAGTTGCCGCCACCATTCCAACATTCCGCAGGCGATTTGAGGCCACCGGCTCATCACGGCTCAGTCCAATGTTCAAAGGGGCCTTGGAAAAGTCAGAAAATTGACACTCAACGCATGGTTGTGAAGGAAAATCTGCAGGAAACCCATGGTTCAAGCCCCAAACATTATGGGCTTCTGTAAATTATCTTTTCTTGTTGACTGTAAACCAATTGCGGTAAAACAGGTGAGGCTCAGCGGGCTTTTTATTTTTGCATCTCCACTATCCAACACTAGCAGTACTTGGACCAAGGTCCGTGGGTGACATGAGGCCCATGAAGCCTGAGCATAGCAACAGCCCGGTATCCGGGTCTGAAAAGATTTCGATGCTTATGGTGAACCATTATTATTAACCATTATTAACCATTAACCATTATAAACCATTATTAACCCATCTGAAACTCCATTTTCCGTGAAAATTGCCATACAAAGCTATCCAACTGAGACCGAAACGAAAGTGCACCTTAATGCAAAAGCGAAGAAGCACACGGCTGCTTCGGGACCTAAGCTGCAACATCATGAGAAAAGGAAAGCCAGGTGCTGAAGGTTCAGCTCATCAATCGCATCCCATGTTTTTTGGGAGAAATGGCATTGCTTCTAGAACTTACCAGTCCTTGAGACAAGCATTTATATGGGTTGATATCCAGAATTCCACCGGTTCATCATTATTTTCCCCATTAACTTTCGATTTGATGGGTATAACTTATAACAGTATACCTCATTTTCACGCCCACATCTGAAGTGGTCCAGAACATGCTCTCAATCCAAGGAGCCGTTGGGGATTGCCGTACATAATCTGTCCTCGCACGCAAGAGATGGGACGTGTGGTTTAGTGGGACACGGGTTTGACACACTCAGAATTTTCAGCGGCCCCAATCGATCGTCAAAGTTTATTTGAGGGATGGAGCAAAAAGAATGACTTGAATCAGCAGCCAAATAATTGGTGACGCGATGCCCCTAATACGGCTGTAGTTATATAGATTTTTCCCCATCTTTTGATACGGGAAATGCCCAGTTGCTGCTCATAAGAACTGTGCAACCTCTGTGCTGATTGGCTGGTTGTAACCCCATTATACTACCAAAAAAAAACATGTTTGCGCGCGACATACCTCCCTGGTAATCACCATATCCCCATCGGATGGCCGTAGGGTACACCAAATTTGGATGGTTTAAAACCTGTTCCCCATTGAAATGGCTATTTGAGGGGTACGCCCCATTGACAGATCAATATCCACTATGCATGGACATGGAGTGCTGCAATCCCACTTTGGTTGGTCAAATCCCTTTATCAAACCATATTCAAACCATGTAATACCCATGTGTTGCTGGTCAAAGAAACACCAAAAACACTGAAAACGCACGTCCAGATGATTTTCGCGCCTCGCGCCCAAGTCCAAGCACCTCGACCTGTACAACAGGAACGAGGTGCTTGTGCAAACAAATGCAATCCCAAAATGGACAAGAACCTGTACAAATAGTCAACCAACAAAAATGGTGTAGGTGAAGATCATCTATCACATGATCCCCGAAAAACGAAAAAAAACTCTTCTAATTTCTATTTGGGGGGTCTATCCTGAGTCGGAGAGAGGTCAAGACGCGAAAACGCGTGCCTGGTCGCTCACCACAAATTCTTTCAATTGTTTTAAGCCTTGGCTGCGGAGGGGGTCGGAGAAGGTCACACCTGTCCCTTTCAAAACTTCAAAGGGCAACGCAGGTCTGAAAAATGTTTCCAGTCCTTCAAAAACTGCCAGCTGACTCACAGTTCACCCAGGATCCATCAGCATCAGCTGGGACTTTGCCAAGAAACTCAGGGGCTTTCTTCCATCCGTTGAATGCAGGAAAGGAGTCTCTGTGTCTGGCATCAAGTCATAGAAACTTGTCCACTCCTGCCATGCCGCCCGACAAAGAAAGTCTCCCTGAGTTGACGTTGCCCACAAGTCCCTGTGACCTGACACCCTCGAATTTTCTGCTGATTTCTGAGGAAATTTTGACTTCGGACAAGTGAAGAAGTCGGTATTCACCCCAACTGATCACTGATTCGAATTGCCAAGGCCTAACAATCAAGGTTCAGCAATCTGCACTAAAGTTTCCTCCGTTTGCCCTTTTACCTCCGCAAACACTTGTGCATGAATCTGTCCAAAAAGTTGCAAAAACCAAACTTCCCCTATCTACTTCCAGTCACAGCACAAGGGCCGGCCTTACTCAGGACATCTTCTGCGAAGAGCTGCTTCTTTTGGTCGTAGCTGCCACTCGCTGGGCCTCGCTGGACTCCACTGACTGGGTCTTTGTCCATCAAAACAGGGTGATTTGCCACCAACTTATGGCCGTGATGAGGAAATGATGATCAAACATCAAAATTATGGGGTGGTCTTCCCATGATCTTTCACACACATTGTCCACCCAATGGTTCTCCCTCCATGTCAGAAATCGACCCTGGCACGTTGTCCAAAGTCGGACGCTGGACGTCTGAGACATGGACGGACCACGCCCAGTTCGTGTGTCCCGGTGTGTGTCTCTGTGGAGGACTCCATAGCCTCACAGGAGGTGGTGATGGTAAGCTTCTGAAAGGTTGTGGTCGTGGTATCTTTCTGCAAAATCTTCTTCCCGGCAATGGAAAGTACAAAAAAAAACTAAATAAAAGCAATCATGATTTACAACAATGTTAATCATGCTCAATGTCAACCCTGGATTAATAAACCCTGGTTGAATGAAGCTGGTTATTACATAACCCAAAATAGTGATAATTTGATACTCAAATGGTATCCCCCAATTCAACAGCCCAGGGGTATAAATCCAGGGTGTATCAATCCGGTGCTGGCATTATAGAAGAATTACTCATTAGTTGTTCCCAAGTGACACTTATCTGGCCACATGATGCCGATGCCATGTCACCAAGAATTAGGCCAGGAAAGTCCCAGCCGTTGAAGGGAAACTGTGCAGGAAGGGGCCCCCTAAACAGAGCTCAGTTGGTTTATAACTTGGCTAAGGATTGGATTTATGGTGGACATACATGTCTATGAAATTCTATGAATTATGTAAATGACTTTGGAATATACAAACCTATATATATATATAAGTATAAGTATATATATATAACTGCGGGAGGCCTTCTTGCGTAACTTTAACCTTAAACCAACCGGTTTTGGTTGGTTAAACCCTACATGCCACAGCCTGGCCCTGCAGTTCTGCCGCGCTAGTTGGCGCTTGCCAGGTAAAGGGAAGGCATGAGCAAAAACTGCCACGGACAGAGGAAAAATTGATGCGATCTTTAAACCTGCTGGAAACAAAATGAGGTCCAGAAGATGATAATAGCCCTTGTTGAGTTCCATGTTGAATTTACGGCGCTGCACTTTTGGAGAGAATTGGCTCTTGTGAAGATCTGAACGATTCCGTCTCCAGACTTTGAATAGTTTTCTACGCAATACGAGCATCAAATCCAAGTCCACTTCGTCTCGCATGGCAACGCTTTGGCCATTTTCCGCGGACGACTCATCCTCTCTTCACCTCATTCGGGACTCTGTGCGATTCATTGGAGCTGTGGTAGACCCATGAATTCATTGTGATTTCACCCCGAATACTGGGATATTGTGGGGATTCCACCAACAAAATATGGGGATGATAGGGTACTAGACCAATCAAGCGAAGCCCCATTTTTGGGGGGGATAGTTTGGATCGTTTTGGATACCCCAAAATGGCAAAATGGCATAAACAGGGTAAAGGGGGGTCCGGTTTATGATTCGCTGTCTTGCTCGGGAAAGACATAAAAAAGTGACCCACACCAGCTTGGAGCGTGGCACATTTCAACTGTCACCCTGTGTAAATCTGAAGAGATTGGCATTTTCTGAAGAAAAGTGCCCTAGAAGTTGGCTACCTGCTGTTAAACTAACATAGCCAACTGGAAAATCACCATGTTTAAGTTCGGTACATCATCTATAAAATCTATAAAGAGGTTACATTTTCCATCGCTATGTGACTTTAGCCTCGGCTACACTTGAGTTGAGCTCCCCCACCAGGCGCTTTGTCCCGGAAAACCTCGGCTGTTCGGCTTGAGATCACCAGCTGGTCTGGGTTCACGGTCGAACTACCCGGATGAAAATTGGTCAAAGATATCATGTCAATTGGTGTATAAGATGCCTCCCGGATGAAAATTTGTAGTATGATGTAGTATGTTAAACCATAGAATTGCGGTGAAATCCGCATGTTTGCCCTAATATATCCTGCAGCAATCAAGCAACGGTTGCTTGGACTGCCAGAAAGTACCTTCCTGTTGGTTAAGTCTCCCTTTCTGCTGGTTGAATTTCAAGCCCCACAAGTGACAGCGAAGTCTCCATCATTTTTGCCAGGGATATGCGTCAAAATGACTTGGCCAATAAAATGGATGGTTGTACCTATCAAATTTCAAAATAACAAACTGTGCGTCCATGGTATCCCAGTTGTTACCCATATCAATATGGGTTCATCTGAAACTGGGGTACCCCAATTCCGACAGATTGTCCAAGTATCCTCCTGACTCCTCTTTCTTATTGAATTGAATTAATGTATCCGATGTTTTTTACTCAAGGTCAACTGGCATTGGTGCAACCATAACCCCTTGGCGATGGCGAGACCAGTAGCTATGGACAGTCGAAAAGTGTTCACATTGTTTTTGGACAAACCCATCTAGTATACCTATATATGGGGGGTTCCTCAAAATGGGGAATCCAAAAAGACTAGCTTTCGATACATTTCAATGGTCATCCATGACGACTGGATGATATGGGGTAAAATGACTTAGGAAAACTAATGTATGATGTATGATAAACCATTCATAGTTATATTACATTCATCACCATAAGTAAACACTATTATATAACTTAACCATTATCAACCCGTTGTTTGTTATCCCAGTATTGACCATTATGAACCAAGACTGGGGACCAGAGAAAACCATAATTAACCACTCCTAACAATGATTGACCTTGACTAACCAGTATGAAAATCATCAACCATTCATCCCTACATTTCTTGTTGCATCAATGGCATGGCCCAACCCCCAAGGACCAAACATTGCCAGGACTTGGCGCCAACAAGCGGTCACCAAAGGCACCAGGATGGGCATGGAGATGGGCAAATACCTGCAGCACCAACCGGTTGGGACCTTTGAAGCAACAAATTATGGACCGTATACCATGTAAATCGATACGAATGACTATAGTGACTATACTAAGTGCACCTTGTTCGGAATTACAACCAGTAACTAATAGATAAGAATATATGGTGGTTGACAATTGAAAAGTTGGTGTTAATGACCAACAAACATGGTGGTTCAAGCAAGAAAATATGGATGTTCATCGACCAAAACTAGTTTTTACCATCAAAACTGGGGTATCAGCAACCAATTGTTTTTCATTATACACCCAAAGCTGCATGATTCAGTCCTTTTCACCAAACCAACTACCATTTTGCTCTGGGTTCAACAATTTTGACCCAATCCTACATCGCCAACTTCGGAAACATCTGCGAACAAGTGGCACGGCGTATTTGAACTCCCAAGAGAAGTACCTGGAGCAATGCAAAAACTGGATTGAAAGTTGTAATCCTGGTGCCCACTCTGGATTATGATTGAACGCTGGCACAAAGAAACCTTTCCTATTCATGATTCATGATGTCATCCCCGAACACTTACTTCAAAGCAGTTCTTTTTGTTGTTTGCATATCCAAAGTTGTCTTAGCCTCAAACCGTTTGGACCCTGTAAGACCGCTACCCAGTATTCTGACTCACGCTGCAAGTCAAACATTGCTTCTGACTCCCCCAGTCAACGCACATTAGTCAAAGGCCAACCCCCGCGCGAATGAAAGAAACAAATGCGTTTAGTTACCATAGCTTTCAATGTATGTAGGTGAGAAAAAACTGCTGGCAGCTGCGCACGAATTAGAGCTCCATCCGAGTCTCATCTGTTAATTGGATGCCGGGCCCCAAAATCTATAGACTGAGTCGCTGCAGCCCAAAGCCTTGGCCTACTGCCAGGGCAAAGCATTTGCCAAATAAACGTCAAGGATGCCTTGAGCGCGAGACCAATGGTAAATTCAAGGATGTCTGTCCATCCAAACTATCTATATATCATATCATATATATATATATGTAATATACATGTGTATATTATGTGTATATTATGTACATATTTTATCATAAATCATATGTAATACATACACATACGCGTTTAGCTCTATTCCTCAACCCTTCGGTGCGCACAGTTGCGACACCACCGAGTCGTCGTGAATGGCCGTGAGCGCCAAGACCAGTGCCTCGCGCGACTCGGCCTTGGTGGTTTCCACATTCGGCAGTTGAAAGGCCTTAAGGATGGGAGTTTTAAGGGCGATAAATGAACTTTACCATTAAAAATGTTGCAAAAATTGGGATGTAACCAAACATGGGGCTTTGCCATAGCTTAACCATCAAATAAGAGGGGTGTTACCATCAATTTTGGGTTATGTTCTGGGTCAAAACCCTGGAAACTTGCTGCGAAGATCAAAATAGATGGTAGTCACGAAGTGTTCATCCCGCCAAAAGATGGTACGAATGGTGTTGACATAATGCAACCAGATGAGAATCATGTTTGCTGTGAGGCCTTCCGCTCTACAGGGTCACTAAGACAGCCGCACGCATGTTGACTTTCCCAAGGGCTCTTGGAAACAAAATTAATGCACCGTTAAAAAGTATCCGTCATGAGCAAGTTAGTTTCATGTTGGTTTGCAACAAAAATTCACTTGGGCTTGTGGTAGGGCACCCCATTCCATTCCAAGGTTTAGAACCGTATGTTCCCTCGAAAAATCACCATAAATTGCGGGTTCTAATTCTGGTAAGTTAAGTCCCACATGTTGTCGGTTTAATCTCAATTCGTGCTAGTCTCCCCACTAAACTTACCATTTTAAATTGAGGATTGTATCCCGTCATTATCCCAAAATATTGCATAAAATGTGGGGGTTATATACATATCCCATTGAATATCCCATGAATCTCCCAAAAATTGGTGGTTGCATATCCCAACCACCCAGGCTGCCCGGACCAGCGCCGAGGTAACATCACCCTGAGATGCGGCGTCAATTGAAGCTCGCGTCTTCGCCACGGCCTGGGGGATTTTAAAAATCAAATGGGGATTGAACCATCAAAAATTGGGATTTCATCCATCAATTAAGGATTCCGTCCATTAAAATTGGGATTGAACTCATGAAAAGTGTTTTGATCAAAAAAATGATCCAAAAAGTGCACGCAGAACCTGTTGTGATTCAAAAAGTTGCTCCAAATCTGCCAGGTTTTTCTCCGGCCGCGCCTGGAAAGCCATGGCCGCAATCTCTTCACCTTGGGGCTGGAGCTGGGCCAAGGATTGATGCTTCGTATCTGGACTACACTCAGTTTCTGCAGTGCTTATGTAGATATATATATATATAGATATAGATATAATGATATATATGCCTGAAAATATATATGCATGAAAATGCATGTTGCAAGACATACAAGGTATGTTTGGAGTAAGAACAGACTCGATACACGACAAGCTATTACGTTCAGGGATCATCACAGTTCTGGCATAGAGCTTTAGCAGCTGCACGGTGGATGGTCAGGCATAGCCATGGTTATGGGCCACACCCCATCTCGTTCCGTTCAACGTCCAGGTACGCACCACCACATCTGGCAAGGAATCCACCAACTCCACCAGGCTCCGCAAGGTTTCGGCCTCGAAGATTCTTCACATTGGAGGTGGAGGGAAGGAACCCATCAGGATGGGAAAGAAAATCACTGAATAAAACTGAAGGCAACCTCACCTGCGACATCCTGCACATCCTGCCACATCCTGCACATCCTGCCGCATCATCCGCTGCCAGGGTGCACTGTTTTTTGCTCTTAAAATCCCAACGACAATGAGGCACCTGTAGGATATGCACACGTTTGTGTATGCAATTAAATCAGTCGTGCCTGCCCATCATCTGCTCAATTGTTGCTGTGCTGCATGGGTCTGGCTCAACATGATGTGCCTCCAAAAAAGTTATGGGTTAAGAATAAAAGCAACGACTTTTATCGATTTTTCCGGTCCTTTGAGACCTTCCTTTCTTGAACCATACCCACATTGAGATCTGGACAAAGACGCAGCTACAAGGCTGCTTCTACTCAAGAGCGCTGTGAGCTTGCCTCACTTTCGTACACTGAATCAGGGATAAAGTCGCTGATGATGCAGCGCTCACATCTATGATATTGTCGATTGCACAGGTGGCAAACGACTTGATTCCGATGGCATGTTGGACAATGCCGCGACATTTGGCGATGGACTCCGCAATATGTACAGTTCGAATTCTGCGAGGCACTGGAAGGCAAAGTGGATTGGGTTTGCAACGATCCTGTGGTCGACGCCACCTCCCATGCATTCTGCGGCATGGGTACCATGCTGGTGCTGTTCAGCAGTGCTTCTTCTGTGCGCAAAGAGCGGGCACCAGCCCCTCTGCCAAAGAAGTAGTAGTACAGCGCATACAGGACCACTGCGAAGACTGGCACACCAAAAAGGACCGCAACTATCCACAGATTCTGGCTAGGACGATGTGGTCCAATTGAACACTGTCCCTCGGCACTATTCTTGCAACATGGTTTCCCTTTAGAATCAACGCCACAGGCGTCTTGGCAGCACTGCCCTTCACAGTACCTCCCTTCTGCACAACATGCGAAGGAGCACGGGGACTTCTCAACGCATTTTGCTGATGGGTTTGCCCAGAGCCTAGGCCGGTCATCCTCAACCACCCAATTTCACCACCATGCCATGTGATGCTTCACTCTCTGCAGAAATCATTACAAAAAGTTAGAGCAAAATTCATCCACCTAAGAAAATTTCCTGATCATTGATAATCATCCACCAAAAACTCCTTGACCATTGGAGGTATTAATCATTTTAGATCATTTTAGTAGTAGATGGGTGTGTCTGAAACTGGGGATCAAAATTGCATTTCTAGTAGATGAAATGAGGTTCTAATCATTTCCAAAGCGTCAAATGTGTCATTTTTCTCAGATTTCCAGACAAACCCACAAGGTGAGGCGCCGCTAAGTTGACGCAAATAACTTGGCAAACTACTCTGGATATAACCAGATATAACTATAATTAACGGGGTTATATGGGGTTATATGGGGTTATATGGGGTTATATGGGGTTATACCTGCAACTCTACCTGCAAACCTCACCTTGAGGACATCAGTCCACTGAGCTCCGGACAGGTTCTGCGACTCCGGGCAGCAGCAGAGGTCGCTGTCCGGGCGATTCGCCACGGACTTCACCACCGAAGTCGCGGCAGATTTGGAAAAGGCGGGGCAGCCCGGGGTGCGCCTCGGCCGGGGCCCGGGTGGTATGAATGGGGAGTTCAGCAACAAAGGACGTGGTGGTGGTTTATAACCAACTATGATAGAGATATCATGGGATATAATATGATATAATTTCATACTATAACTGTAACCAAAAACGCGATGATATTCGAGTCTGAAGCTTTGGATTTACCAAGCGACAATTTTCATGGTGCTTTCCATCAAATTCTGGGGGTACCTTATTTTCAGATAGAACCAGTCGTGGGATGTGCGGTTTCCTGCTGCGATTTTCAGTGCGTGAAGAAACCAACAGGGATGCTCAGATCAACTTAGGTATGGCTGGCTACTAATGACCTGCACAATGACAATGGTTGGCCATGTTTGATCTAATCTCTCCAAGTTAGGGGTCAAAATCCTTTCACACACGCTTGCACTTGAGTATGGGTCAATACTATTCGCAAACCTGGATGGTTTTATACTGAAAATGACCACGTTTGTCGGTTCATGGGTGCCCCAGTTCTGACCCACCCGCACACACTCCTTGAATCAGGCAGCACTTTGGAACAAACAATGTCTTTGGATTTCTCGGCTGCTGCAACCACTGCTGCAAGTCGAAGAACCTGTATCAGCACTGGACCAAGTCTCAGAAAACCCATTTATGCCGCGCCTGATTTCCTGAAAAGGGCCATAAGAATATCAAAAATGAATAGAAATGAATAGAAATGAATAGAAATGAATAGAAATGAATAGATCGGATACTAAATGGCTCTGGCGGCAACGTTTGATGTTTAAGATTCGCTGAATGGGATCGGTATTGCTTGGCTTCATGCCACTTGGAGCTGACCCTCGGCAGAAAAGCCAGGCCTTCCACATTGTCAGAAGATGAATGGGAAGAACTTCTGCCGAGGTTTTGATCCAAAAAACTGCCTGCGGTAAAGCCCTCAAAGAAACTCGATACACCGAGAACTGCAACGGGAAGCCGTGCCTTGGTTACGTTGTGCCTTGCAACTTTGGGCATCCCAAAATGGGCAAAGAGCAGTTAAGACTTTCGGGTGTCTGAAAATGAAGCATGCTCTCAGCCATTTTCAATGAGTAAAACTGATGAAGTGGATTTTAGGGGTACCAGCAAACTAACATGGATATGGAAAACCCACCATGGCTGTAGATCATTTCCGAACCGGAAATTCATGCGTTTCCGTAGCTATACTGCAGAGGTTGAGCTCCGCACTGTGCGCTGCACGAAGTGCGCGTGTGCCGCTCCTTGGCAGTTGGAATTAAGAGTCCAAAAAGTGGCCAAATCTAGCGATGATTCACAATTAATGGTTGGCTATGTTTGATTCCATTCCCACAAACCCCCCTTTGTCGCAATTAATGATTGGTTATGGCTCATTCAATCCCATAAGATCTGTATGTTTCAACCAACATAAATCTGCCATTTTAGCCCAAATGAAGCCTACATGCTGCTACCCAACCAGCTTAAACCCAACCAACGGTCGCAGCCCCTGAGGCCCAACGTGCCAAGATTTGGAGCTCCCAATCTGCAATGCCATCTATCCCTTGGTACCAGCATAGGACGCCACATAAGTGTGACTATGATATGATATGATATGATATGATATGACATGATATGATATGATATGATATATGCTTAGATAGACAGATATACAGATAGACAGGTAGACAGATAGAAAGATAGATAGAGATAGAGATAGAGATAGAGATAGAGATAGACACATAGATAGACACATAGATAAACAATAATAAACAAAAATAGATATGCAGGCAATATCACCAAAATAAAACGGGCAAACGATCACTGAGACCATGGGGAAGCCATTACACTTTCAGAGAAGACTGCAGCCATCGGAGATTGTGCCCGGTGGTCATCCCCGAGTCATCCCCCAGGTTTCACATCAGCGACTAAGGTCTACACTTGGTCTTGCAACAAGAAGCTCCAGGGAAGCGTCACCCCCTGCAGAAAGCACGTGGTGCGGTTCCACAATCATCGTGTGTATTCACACAAGAAATCATCGTGCGTCAAGCTAAAAAAGCTGAATGTTCCCCAACCGTCAATAACAGCTGAAAGTGCCCATTTAAGGATGAAGAAAATATTCTGGAGTAAGCATGAAATAGTTCGTCTCGGATGCATCATTGCAAAAAAGTCGAACACAAGAGCCGGATGACTGCGGCATTTGATGATTTTGGCCTTTGCACTGTAAAACCGGAATTGGTCAGGTCCTCATGGCCTTGTCTGAAGAATGTGGGGAAAATACAACACAGTGGTTTGGAACATCATTTACCCGACAGTTGAAGTACCCTCTGGTAATTTAACATAGCTATTGAAAATTTCCACTTCTAATAGGTAAATCAACTATAACTTTGCCATTTTCCATAGTTACGTTAGTTAGTTTACCAGAGGGTATACCATGATGGATGAACCCGCATTTCTGATGTGGGTCCCTCGAGCAACACCCCTCCAGCCTGTGGCCAGGGACCCATCGGCCGGCAGCGATAGCCATGACCGAACACTGGAGATCCAACCGGAGGCCACCTCAGATGATCCCAGAACTGGGGAAACCCCACTTGTCCAGTTATTGAGTGGGATGAACCAATGGCGAACAGCCATCTATTGGGGGCCACCGTTGACCAACCCAAAACGGGCTAAGCCACTCCCCGGGCTTCGCAGTCGCTAAGGCTTGAGGAATTCGAGGCTTCGCCTAGCCATCCAAGAAGGGGAACTGAAGTTCCACATGGGGAAATCCCCCAAATTGATGGCTGTTCAATAGGGATTCGCAGTTCTTGGATCATGATAATCCAATTTTTATGTATGTGTATATATATATTACAATCCCACATTTTGGTTGGGTTCCGAAAATAGGGGTACCACTAAATCATCCCATTTTAATGGGATTCTCCATTAGAAACCATCCAGCTATTGGGATACGCCAATTTTTTTGGAAACCCTCAAATGACACCTGTTCACTGTTCATCTCCATGAAAGGGAAGTTTAAGTCCATGTCCGGGGCAAAAATGTTTTGAGAGTCAATTGGAAAGAACCAGAAGGGGAAGTTTGGGTAATTGACATGTAATGGCCCAGCATTTCATATATATCACCTATTGAGCTGCATTCGCGATGTTCTTGCTGGAAAAGATAACACTCCATACACATTGGAAATGGTAGCATGGATTTGCGGTGACAAATCCCTTCCCACGGTTTGCAGCTGCACAGCGGGCAACTACCGCCCTCTTTTTGTCGCACGACTGCTATGTTGCCCTTGACCATGTTGCACAAGCCTTCATTGGCTAATTGAGAGGCAGAGAAATCATTCGAAATCATCCATCTGAAATGACCCGAAAGATTATGCCAATCTCATTCTGCTTTGAATTGCATCAAATGACTTCGGGAGGTACGAGAAAAGAACATCTTCCTAAATTCCTTCTGTTTCCTGCATTTGGTTATATACTCAAGTTCACTATCTGGAAATGGCTGCGCCACCTGAGTTTCTAAAGGTTTCTCAAACTCTTGCACCAGGGAAGAGGCATCATGCGTGCTGAATCTTCCCATTTGATACTGCAGATACACCCCATTTTTTTGTGCATTGCCAAGTTTCATCAGCAACATGGTATATCTGATCTCTTGTAATGCCGTTATATACTTGGGAAGGATACTTGAAACATGAAATGCAAAGAACAAGAAGCAGTTGTTCGAAGGAAAGCTTTGAACACTTCGATCTGCTCGTGCTGCGAGATCTTTTCCAGCAACACGCGACCTGCAGACTGCTCAACCACGGGCAGGTCATGGTCAGAGAGTTTGCAGGTAGCACCCGTGATGTTGAACCATTTGGATACAAATTGGAAACTGTTGGAAACCAAAAACAGGGATGGTATAATTAAGACTAATTAAGACACTTTCAAAACTACATTTTGAATCATGTTGAATCATTAAATCCAAAAAATCACCAAGTTCCACACGTGGCTTCCGGGGCCAACAGGGCCAGGATCTCGATCCCCGGATCGCCTCCCCAGGATCGCCAGAAGGGATCCAGTTTCTTCGAGGGAGTTCGCTGAGTATCCTGGCTCCGAACCATCAATAGCCATCAATTATAGGATGGATAATAGGCATATTATTAATATTATAGTAACTCAATATTGGAAAGTATTAATTACTATACCATCATATACTTTCCAATATTCTAATAGGAGTGAGTAGTATGGATACTATTAGAAATTGTGATATAACCATCAACAATGGGAGTATGATGGATAATTGGGATCTAAAATCAACCATAAGAGGGAAAACGCAATGGGGATATTCATGAGGATACCCTCTGGTGTCCCCGAAGAGTGTCCCAGCAAGCCATGTTTTATGACACCAGAGGATATATCCCATTCATATCCATTCATATTCCATGAAATCACTATAAAAATCATGAAAAAAATCCCATGAATAGCCTGAATAGCCCATCAAACATCCATAAATCATTGAATCAGTGGTGTTTCCAAAACTGGCAGTCGGCTCGCGTCTGGTGTCTTCGGCTGACCTGTCCTCACCACGAAAGACACATCTGCGTCCAGAGACGTCAATCTCAAACCAATCCACATGCGAACCTCATTTAAAAGAGGATGCAAGAGGGTTGGATGACACTTTGAAGAACGGGAAACCACCATAAAATGCTGCTGTCATCACAAAGACAGGCATCTGAGGAGCCCATGATGTCCTGGTTGCTGCAATGAGCCACATATTACAAGGTTTCCTCTACCCATCAGTGATAGGTAGGCTATGCGGTGCCTCGACAATTCAAGAACCCCTCTTAAAAACCACCAACTGCATGATGTGTCGCAATACCCCCACATGGCTAAGATGTGCTGACCTATGTACTCCTAGCGGTATGTATTCCCATTCTTTAGCCTTCTATAATTCCACAGCCTTTAAAACCTAGACTAGAACACTTATGTATGCAACCTCCACACCCTTTGCTGGGTAATCTTTAAAGACCCACCAACCAGTCAAGTCCCAGATTTTCAAGGCACAAAGGCGCTTCCCAGCACTCGAAGTTCCTGGTCACGTCCCCAGTTTTGAAAGAAAATATCCTTTCACTACAATATGTTTCAGTTCAATACATGATCAGGGAACAAACGCCTATTGGAAAAGCTGTTATACATATACGTATATATATATATACACATTATGTGTATATATATATGTGTGTGTATTATGGCAAACCCGAAATGCAAAACCAATGACATCTGCACAGATTGCACACAAGGGGAATCGCTAAGAATGCAACGTCTGAACTGGCAGAAAGCAAAACTGGTAGTCCAATGACTATATACAGTAATGACAGTGAACATAAAACGGTCATATGGAAACACCATCATCAAGACTGTCTAATCATTGCACAACCAAATCAATATGACAATTTACTGGGTTGGTTCAAAATCTGTCATTTTTCAGGACAATCCCATACATCCATGGTTCATTGTTTAAATTGGCTGGTTAAATACCACATGGGCTAAATAGCACAAAGATCTTCTGCAACCCTATCAGTTGGTGGTCAACCTTAGCCATTAAAATACCCCTATCCCATCTCATAATCAATCCTGGTTGGTTAATTGGTTTCCTTTCTATGGCTTCTATGTTGTCATAATCGCCATTGAACCAGGTAGTATAATCCCACCAAAAAAAGCCAATGGTTATCATCATCCCCATGAAATATAATTCGTGGATGCCCAGAGCACCACGGGCCGCGGGCACCTTGAATGCCCGTCTTCCAACCAGGCCATTTGCTTCCGCGCCGCACCAGCAACATATCGGTGCCTCGGTGGCAAAAAATGCTGGCAGAACTGGCAGAAAAACCGGGGGATTGACCTGCAAAAATGTCGATCTACTCAACAAGAACGGGGACAATGACGGCTTAACCAAGAAAAATGTGTGCTAGACAAGAATTGGGATAGTTGGATATGATAGGTATCATAGGGGTACCACATTGTATATGTATAATTTTGACATCTCGGAAAGAGATAGGGGTTCAGAACCATGGCTACTTCATGCACTTATGATGATGGTATATCCCCAGTTCATCCCAGTTCTATATTCTATATTGCTGGGAATCCACCGGCTTCCAAAGTCTGCTTCTGCTTCTGCTGGTGTCAGAGTCCCAAGCTGGCTGGTCATCATGCAAGCCGAAGTTGAAGGTACTAAATATCTGGCTCATTTGGAGTGTCTATGGATGTGTGCATAGTGAAAGTGTCAGGTTCTTCGTAAGGCTGCCAAGTGGCCCCAGGCATGACCGCCAATCACTTCGGGCAAGATGACTCTCTCGAAGTCCTGGTCACGGGTGTTGGAGTGAACGCTTCTGGTGTTCAACTGCAGCCCGTCCCAAGCCAATTTCAACAGTGAGTCAGCCAACATCTGCTCGCAAGTTTGACACCTTAACACCTGGACCTGGACCATGGTGAGTGAAGTAGTGGTGGTATGTGGTGGTTTGGTGTGGATGACTTTCTCCATTGGTATGCAAGGGAATCGATCTCTTCCGGGGACAAGAGGGACAGGGGTTCATGATCTAGCCACGAAGTGCACAGTTGGGGGGCCCAAGTTGCTACTTCTTCTCGTTTGATTGGTGGGGATGGGGTGCATCCCAGAAATCCTAAGTGGATATCCTATATATATATTATCACTGAGGAACGTCATAGAAGACTGGCGTTTTATGTGGTTCTTGCCCAACTTGTGATGCCTGGGTCCCACACATCGTGGGAATGATGTGGCCCCCAACATCCTTGCCTTGCACACCTGGTATGGCTTCCTCGGTAATTCGAAGCTATGGAGGAACTCGGTGGATCTTTCTGCGATTTGGAGCACAAAACAGGCACCGGCTTCACAGGAAGAAGTTGACTGGACAGATTCACAAACTTCTGTTTGGTGCCTGGTCTTTGTTTGTTTTGTTTCCCCTTCCCAGAAGAATCAGGCCATTAACCAGTGGCAACACTTGTGCTTAGAGGGTCCTAACACAATCAAACCCACCACTGTGCGACAGAAGATCCAACCACAAGGGATGTCGATCCAGCTATCATCGAAGGCTTTCACCATGTCCATACCTCAGGTACTGCAAGCAACAAATGACGAAGTGGCTACAGAATGCCATGCTGGATTCTGAATTTTGGCGGATGACCATGTTTCTACCAGATCAAGCTCTCCAGACCAAGCTGCCAATCTCCTTGTCATCTTTCTTCTTCCAAGGCAAAACAGCAAAAGTGCGGCCCTCCTTCTCCACCTCAGCCAGTTCCAGACTAAGCGTTTTGCTTTGCTGTTTGTTTGACCATCGGAATATCGAAAATAGCTGAGACATTCCTGGAAGAAAGAACTCCAAGAATCCTCAAATCTTGTAGAAGACTCATGAAGACTCCTGAAAATCCAAGTTCGTTCCACCACGGAACCGTGTAGCTGGCATCGGCGACATCCGCGACAGCTTCTCTCAAGGAAATCTGCCCTTGGATGCCACCCACCAAGCTCTCGCCCAGCTGGGAGACCTCAGGATCTGCGGAGCTTGGCTCAGCTTGGCTATGCGGCCATGGCGTCAAGGCCAAGGTGCAAAGGTCAACTGGAGCTCGGAATCGCCCTGGCTGAGATCTGGCAACAGACGATTTTTGAGAATGGTTGAGGTGGTTTTCTCGGAAAACCTTCCAACTTTCAACCCACAAACCTCGGGTAACCTCGGAATGTTATAAACACATTCGAGAATCCTTGCTTTGTGGATCTTTTAGTCTTCTTGAGTCAAGGAAAACTGATGCAGAAATCTTTGTCGATTCCTCCACTCGGAAGGCATCCAAGAGTTGGGGACAGCCCAGGATCAAACCCTTGGGGCTGCATGGCACGGTGCCTTCCATTCCTCTTGGAAAGCGGCACGCGGGGCATCAGCCTGCCATGCAGGGGCACTTGGTCAAAGGCATCGTAACACCTTACAAGGTGCCGTCCTCGAGGGCAACAAAGGATTTTTGAGAAACCACGTGGCAAATTCGATAGCTAAGCATACCAAACTTTCGAAACCATCTTTGGGGTTACCACCCTGGAAATACCAGTGAACAACAAACCGGGGTCTACTGATTACTGTCTACCAAGACAAAAACAGCTGTATACATATTGGGTGTGTCTAAAAATGAGGGATTTGCCCCCAACTTGATGGATTTGCTCCCAATTGATGTCCAATTTCGGGAAAAATTATCATAACTATGATGTGGTCGGGAAACTCCCCCTAACTCCTCGGTTCATTTAATAAGGGAAAATTATACCAGCTCCGTAGGTCACCAATCAGGTGCACCTGCCTCGGCCGAAGGGCTCAGCAGCTCCCTCAACTTCTCCACGCCCAGCTGGAGTTGCTCATCCAGTTCCTTGGAACTGCCCGCAAAGAACTCAAAAATGAATAGATCCAAGACCAAACCAGGCTTCCCCTGATGATGAAAAAATCACAAGATAGGGAAGTTCCGCTTCAAACCAGCTCACTTTCCAAAATGTCCTGCCCAAACTTCTGTGCCGCGTTCAATCCATTTGCAGCCCAGCATCTTGGTAGGCCGCCATCTCTCCCCTGTCCATCTCCACCAGCTTTGCCTTGGAAACCACGAGCTTTTTGCTTGTGAAAATGGAGGGGTAAACCGGGTAAACCCTCCACTTTCATCAACCAGTAGCAAAAAAGGCCATCTATGCATCAAGCAATCTTGCCTCATCATAGGACACAAGTCGGATGTGTCTGATCATCCTTTAGAACCTTAGTTTCCCTATCAAAACTATAGCCACAACATGGAGGTCTACCCCAATTTCCGCTCCACAGCAGCACAATCTCCCAAGGAACAGCTCCGACGGCCAGCACTCGCGCACCAGCTTGCCGAACATCAGATTCTTCAGTGGAAGTAAATCCCCTCAGTCACCCAACGGGGGATGTATGGTATGTACCCATAGGGTATTTAGGGAGCCAACATAGGGATCAATATGAACCATCCAGAATGGTGGATTTCACCGCAGTGGAAAATGGATATGAGTGCGTCCAAAAATGAGGAATTTCACCGATTTAACCCCCAATGCGTCGCAAACATTCATACGTGAAATGATGAATCGTGAGACCTCAACCAACAAATTGATTTTGGAAGCTCATTCTCATGGTCTATATGGCTCTACCTACCCCAACGTCTCCCAAATGATCCCCTAGTCTGTCAGAGGGAAACTCTTAGTAGCTCCTTGGCTCCCCATCTAATCGGGATACCTGCTCCTCAGCTCCCTCCTAAACATGGGTTAGTTTGTAACACTGTTAATGTTGTCGACTGATTAGTGTGAGGGGCCCCCCCTAAACAATTTTAGTCTACTCAATAACAGACCATTTTTTTGCGCCCCCCCACCTTCAACATTTTTTTTGAATTGATTTCAATGTACTTTCAATTGAAATCAATTTACTTTCAATTGATTTCAATTTACTTTTAATTAATTAATTAATTTCAATTTACTTTGAATTTACTTTCAATTGATTTCAATTGATTTCAATTTACTTTCAATTTACTTTCAATTTACTTTCAATTTATTTTCAATTGATTTCAATTTACTTTCAATTGATTTCAATTTACTTTCAATTGATTTCAATTTACTTTCAATTGATTTCAATTTACTTTCAATTGATTTCAATTTACTTTCAATTGATTTCAATTTACTTTCAATTGATTTCAATTTACTTTCAATTTACTTTCAATTGATTGCAATTTACTTTCAATTTACTTTCAATTGATTTCAATTTACTTTCAATTGATTTCAATTTACTTTCAATTGATTTCAATTTACTTTCAATTTACTTTCAATTTACTTTCAATTTACTCTCAATTTACTTTCAATTTACTTTCAATTTACTTTCAATTGATTTCAATTTACTTTCAATTGATTTCAATTTACTTTCAATTGATTTCAATTGATTTCAATTTACTTTCAATTGATTTCAATTTACTTTCAATTGATTTCAATTTACTTTCAATTGATTTCAATTTACTTTCAATTGATTGCAATTTACTTTCAATTTACTTTCAATTGATTTCAATTTACTTTCAAGGGTTTTTGTTTTTTTTCAACCCCAAAAGTTGCTTGGCACAATAGAGTACCATCCAAACATTCATATTATTGAGTAACTGAGCCACTCATGAGGTACCCCCTTGAAAAATTGTCTGGATGCTGTTTTTTAATAAGGGTTTAATAAGGCATCTAATTATTTGGAAAACCTTGCATTTTAAAAGCTTTAACACAAATATCTATTTCTAAAACAAATGGACCAGCTTTACTCAAGGAAAGGTGGAGAAAGGGTTTTTGTTTTTTTTTTCAACCCCAAAAGTTGTTGGGCACAATAGAGTACCATCCAAACATTCATATTATTGAGTAACTCAGCCACTCATGGGGTACCACCTTGAAAAATTGTCTGTGTGCTGTTTTTTAATAAGGGTTTAATAAGGCATCTAATTATTTGGAAAACCTTGCATTTTAAAGCTTTATCACAAATATGGTTTCCTAAAGTAAATGGACCAGCTTTACTCAAAGAAAGGTGGAGAAAGGGTTTTTGTTTTTTTTTCAACACCAAAAATTGTTGGGCACAATAGAGTACCATCCAAACATTCATATTATTGAGTAACTCAGCCATTCATGGTTTTTTCAGACATCTAATTATTTGGAAAACCTTGCATTTTAAAGCTTTATCACAAATATTGCTTTCTAAAACAAATGGACCAGCTTTACTCAAGGAAAGGTGGAGAAAGGGTTTTTGTTTTTTTTCAACCCCAAAAGTTGTTGGGCACAATAGAGTACCATCCAAACATTCATATTATTGAGTAACTCAGCCACTTATGGGGTACCACCTTGAAAAATTGTCTGGGTGCTGTTTTTTAATAAGGGTTTAATAAGGCATCTAATTATTTGGAAAACCTTGCATTTTAAAGCTTTATCACAAATATTGCTTTCTAAAACAAATGGACCAGCTTTACTCAAGGAAAGGTGGAGAAAGGGTTTTTGTTTTTTTTTCAACCCCAAAAGTTGTTGGGCACAATAGAGTACCATCCAAACATTCATATTATTGAGTAACTCAGCCACTCATTGGGTACCACCTTGAAAAATTGTCTGGGTGCTGTTTTTTAATAAGGGTTTAATAAGGCATCTAATTATTTGGAAAACCTTGCATTTTAAAGCTTTATCACAAATATGGTTTCCTAAAGTAAATGGACTAGCTTTACTCAAAGAAAGGTGGAGAAAGGGTTTTTGTGTTTTTTTTCAACACCAAAAATTGTTGGGCACAATAGAGTACCATCCAAACATTCATATTATTGAGTAACTCAGCCATTCATGGTTTTTTCAGACATCTAATTCTTTGGAACAGGTTGGATCTTCAAGCTTTAACACAATTTTGGCTTTCTAAAGTAAATGGACCAGCTTTACTCAAAGAAAGGTGGAGAAATGGTTTTGGATTTTTTTCAACCCCAGAAGTTGTTGGGCACAATAGAGTACCATCCAAACATTCATATTATTGAGTAACTCAGCCACTCACGGGGCACCACCTTGAAAAATTGTCTGGATGCTGTTTTTTTAATAAGGGTTTAATAAGGCATCTAATTATTTGGAAAACCTTGCATTTTAAAAGCTTTAACACAAATATTGCTTTCTAAAGTAAATGGACCAGCTTTACTCAAAGAAAGGTGGAGAAAGGGTTTTTGTTTTTTTTTCAACCCCAGAAGTTGTTGGGCACAATAGAGTACCATCCAAACATTCATATTATTGAGTAACTCAGCCACTCATGGGGTACCACCTTGAAAAATTGTCTGGATGCTGTTTTTTAATAAGGGTTTAATAAGGCATCTAATTATTTGGAAAACCTTGCATTTTAAAAGCTTTAACACAAATATTGCTTTCTAAAGTAAATGGACCAGCTTTACTCAAAGAAAGGTGGAGAAAGGGTTTTTGTTTTTTTTTTCAACCCCAAAAGTTGTTGGGCACAATAGAGTACCATCCAAACATTCATATTATTGAGTAACTCAGCCACTCATGGGGTACCACCTTGAAAAATTGTTTGGATGCTGTTTTTTAATAAGGGTTTAATAAGGCATCTAATTATTTGGAAAACCTTGCATTTTAAAAGCGTTAACACAAATATTGCTTTCTAAAGTAAATGGACCAGCTTTACTCAAAGAAAGGTGGAGAAAGGGTTTTTGCTTTTTTTTCAACCCCAAAAGTTGTTGGGCACAATAGAGTACCATCCAAACATTCATATTATTGAGTAACTCAGCCACTCATGGGGTACCAGCTTGAAAAATTGTCTGGATGCTGTTTTTTAATAAGGGTTTAATAAGGCATCTAATTATTTGGAAAACCTTGCATTTTAAAAGCTTTAACACAAATATTGCTTTCTAAAGTAAATGGACCAGCTTTACTCAAAGAAAGGTGGAGAAAGAGTTTTTGTTTTTTTTTTCAACCCCAAAAGTTGTTGGGCACAATAGAGTACCATCCAAACATTCATATTATTGAGTAACTCAGCCACTCATGGGGTACCACCTTGAAAAATTGTCTGGATGCTGTTTTTTAATAAGGGTTTAATAAGGCATCTAATTATTTGGAAAACCTTGCATTTTAAAAGCTGTAACACAAATATTGCTTTCTAAAGTAAATGGACCAGCTTTACTCAAAGAAAGGTGGAGAAAGAGTTTTTGTTTTTTTTTCAACCCAAAAAGTTGTTGGGCACAATAGAGTACCATCCAAACATTCATATTATTGAGTAACTCAGCCACTCATGGGGTACCACCTTGAAAAATTGTTTGGGTGCTGTTTTTTAATAAGGGTTTAATAAGGCATCTAATTATTTGGAAAACCTTGCATTTTAAAGCTTTAATATAAAAAAATGAAAAACATAAAAACATTTTTTAAGTATTTAATTAACTAATTTAAAAATAAATTCAAAAAATAGTTAATTAATTAGGAACATTAAAAAAAAAAAAAAAATCTGGAAAAACATTTGCCACAATACAGGCCCCCCCCCACCAAACAGCAGGTTACTGAATAAGGAGGAAACTTTTTGCCACAATAGAGTACCATGCTACTAATCAGGTGCCAACATTAGGGCCTATCGACGAAGTTGAAGAGACACTGAATGATTTCTCCTAACCCAAAACAGTGAATCTTCTGCGCCTGCAGGTGAGATCCAGGAAGTCTTGAAATAAGCCACCTGAACAGGATGTCAGTGGCATGACATATTCCATCCATATCATTGGGATGCCTCAAGAAACTAAGTACCCACGGACCCAAATTGATTGTTGGATGCCAGCCATTTTGGGGCAATGATTTTGAGCTATGTCTATGTCCATATTATATGAACGGCTGAAAGTACAGGCTGGAAAATGGTGCAAATCAATAAATCCGTCATTCACATCGTGAGAGTATGCTGCCTAAAAACGATTCGCTCAAGGAGTTGCAGCAGTGAATCCCCCTGCACAGGTACTTGGGACATACAAGCACCGTACTTAAGTCACATCAGGCGGGAAAAGTCACATCATCCCCATGGTACGACCTTTACAAGCTGATACGACTTAACCCTAGCGCTTGTATCCCAAGTTGTGAGTTTTTAACCACGGTTACACCCGTCAATTACCGCGACTGCACCTCCCAGGGCATCCCTTCCCCTTCCGATTGATCAAGGCCCTGACGATCCGCTTTCGAGCAAAGCGACCGGCTCAGCTGCGGCACAAGCCGTGGGCGAAGCCAGACAGCTCTCCTGCGTCGTTGCCCGCCCATCTATGGCCATATATGGCCTCTGAAAATGGGATGTCCCTCCATGGCAACTGAAATGATGAGATTTTGGAGGTAGATGGAGGTAGTTTATAGTACTTGGAAAAATGGCCGAAGTCTGTGGATTGGAGGACCTGACGCCAATTCCGAAAATGAGTCCTTTTGAGATCTTTTGAGATCATCGTAGCAGCACGCCCCTTGGGACTGATGATAGATTATAGCCATACAAATGATGATATACTGTAGAAACTTGTTTGCACCAATATTCATCAATATTAAGAAATTAGATAGTCGCTAAGATAATCATGCCGATATGTGCAAGGGTGCCGATTCTCATTCATACATCACATGTGCATCAATGTGCTTAAGGAAATGTCCATCAATTTTCCGCCCTTCTTCACGTTCCAACACTAGAATAAAAGAGACTTCATTCCCACTTATCTGTTTCAACTTGCAGAAAAGCACCACCGCGCCTGCATCCCGAATGCCATCTTTGGCTCACATGGAACAGCAAGCTTGACATCGGCGACGAGTGGCGCACAGCGAACCGCCGAAATTCACTGGGCTCCGCTTGCGGTGCTCAAAGGTCCAATCTGAAAGTTCCATCGTAGGGATATGTATGGATAGTATGGGATGGTGCAGTTCACTTCGCTTTTTTGCATCTTTTTTGTCCCTTCACGCTTTGCATTGTTCAGTGGATCGTTGACTTCAACATACATGACAGGCTACTTGAACACAGGAGCATCGTTCAAAGCCACTGATAATATGTATATATATATACATATATTAGGATTTTCCTGCTTGATTTTGGGTAATTGACCAGTTATGATTTCTGCCATCCAAATCCAAGTAGCAGAATTGAAACATAGTGTCAAGTCTTCTGCTCTTGCTGGCTGGTCCGCAGCTTGAATATGAGACGCAAGCGCAGCAGGAGTCTTGCTTGTCAGAGATACCTTAGACTCCCGATATTGGGTATGGCTAACAGAATCGTTGGCACCACAAAAGAATGGATGGTTTGATAGAAAGCCCCATTTTCTGGGTCCGTTGCTATAGCAAGTGCTATTGATCTCGCCTGTCTCGCACTGGGCAATGGCCACAGCACCAAAGCCTTGGACATCAGCGTCTATTAGTTAATTTGCCGGAGGCTACATTATAGATTGCAAATATTGAGGTTAATCTTGGATTGCAAGAATTATCCAAGTTGCTGTGGGATTGTAATGATTCCAAGTTGTGGGCCTCTTGCTTCCAGAATAATGAATTCTCCCAATTCTCTACTATCCTAATGGGGCTTTTCGGAGTTGGCAGGCCTATTATCCACAACTTGGGCATGGCCCATGGCTCATGGATCCCCCATTGAGCTTTGGCTGATCCTTGGCTCAGGGTCCGGCCCTGCACCGCGAAGGACTGTCGAGATTCACCCTCTTCGTCCACCTCAGCCAGGCATTTTCGCCACGGCCGTTGCCGCATGGACGAGTGGCTAGGGTCCAAACTGGGAAAGTGTGGCACAAACCTGATACAACCATCAGTACAACCATCAGTACAACCATCAGCAAAAAACCATGGCTTATGAAATTGTCTATGCCCCTGTTTGTTTGGGGAAACCCATTGACGAACAACTGGGATTATTGTGGGATTCCCCATTCTAGGAAACCACTATTTGGGATTATGTTTCTTATGATTCTCCAAATAGTGGAACTTTTGAAGTGGATGTTGTTTCGAGTTAGTGCGTGGGTTTCTCAGCGCATCCTTTTCGCATCAAAGTTTGGACCCCAAACAGTTTAACAAGTGTTCAAAATTGTCTTGAAAACCAAAGTACACCTATTCTCCCCCAGCCACGGATCTTTGAATCTATAAGTTAGACCCGCTTTTGTTTTGACATGAGTATAGGTCAAAATCATCAACACCCCCAAAAGAATGTATGGAAGTTCATAGTTCAACATGCTTTCTGTACCCTCCGATAACGCAGTGTGCAGAAAAATCCACCCAAATTTAGTTCGATGATTGTCCCAGCTGTAAACTATAAACCTATATAAACCTCCATTTATAGTGGATTGTCCCATGAAATAAAACCATTTATGGATGATTTTCCCCATATGTTCCCCATATTCCAGCTATAAACCACCATTTTTCATAGGGATTTTCCATCGCCCAGGGGCCAATTGCACGGACTCCGTCGGCTTGAACGCCACGAAGCGCACCAAGGGCGGCAGCCATCGAGCGTCACCTCGAGGGCTCGGGCTCTACCAAGAATCTTCGGGTTGAGCCGTGTGCACAACAATGAACGGATTAATAGATTTATATATATATATACATATATATATAGATAGATAGATAGATAGATAGATTAGATAGATAGATAGATAGATAGATAGATAATTATATATTATATTATATATATGTATATATAACCATGTAATACATACTGTATATACCTTGTTCGCTGCTTCCCTGCGAAAAGTTTGACTTCTAGTGGTGTTCTGTAAAGTATCCCCAAAAGTCTCAAAGTCCAAGGGAATGGCAGGGAACCGCTGTGCCCATCACCCGAATATTCAACACCCCCAAGGGACCCCAAATGGATGGAACCAGTACTCCCCAAGCTTTGTAGGCGAGCATTTAACATGAGGGCTTGGAATTACAACACGTTCCCATGCTCCGTGGTGCAAAAGTGATCAGTGTCACAGCCAGAGTTTGCCAGAGTGGTAAACTATCTCCTCCAGGGCAAGCTGAAACACCAGGCCTTTTTTTAATGACCAAGGGAGAGAAAAGCACCTTGAAACTTGCAGCCTACCATTTGTCGCCTTCATTGAAGTGGCACAGAGCACACCACAATAAGATGATATGAGCCAAAACCCTGGCCCCCAACACCAAAATACCTGGTAAATGTTCATGCCCCCATTATATGTTATCGTATGCTATTCGAGATTATTCGAGTACAGGTTTTGATTCATCCCCAAACAAAAGCATCGCCAAGGTGCGAGTTAAGGCATCAGGCGGCCACTCGCCGGTGCGACGCATAAAATCTGCCTGCCAAAGAGCTGAGCCACAATTGGTCAATTGGACTGGTGATCCTTGCAGAGTTTTCAAAATGGAGCTCTGCAATGGGAAGTTGATCAAAAGCGTCTGGGGATGTCTGGGGGTTTGGCTCAAGAAACTGTGTCTATTTGATCAAAAGCGTCAAGAACATCTACGAACTGCTCCATTTGCTGTGCTTGAGAGCTTGCAGTTCCAACACGGGCGCAGGCCTGGAGCAGGGACACGTCCACCACATTCCTCATGACACCAGGGTATGAAAAATGACCACGCCAAATCTCTTTCACCTATGGACTGAAAATGAGAGTCGACATGGTAAGCCCAATGTCTGAGAATTTCAGGACCCTAAGATAGAGCTACCGTACCGTATTTTGAGCCATATTTGGTGGGTTATCCAAACCAAACCCCAGATGGCGCAGTTGGGTCTGGTGCTGTTATTATTGTGGCGTCTGTTTCGCAACCACACCGCCCGACCTTTGTGACTCATTTTGACGCGGGAAAAACATCATGACATGAAGAACCTTAGATCCCCTGCCAAAGATTGCGTTTTAGTTTGGTCAAATGTTATTCCCAGATTTTAACTCATGGTTTTCAAAAAAATTAACCGTCAGAGATCGGAAAAAAGCTGAGCACCAAACCCCGCTTGCTTTTGGCCACGCTCCGAAGGCCTCAGAAGGATCATGTTCATCGCCCAAGTCCGGGTCGATCGAAAATGGAATATCAATGAACCCACAAGACTGGTTTGTGATTGGTCATTTTCACTCCTCAACCATGGTGATATCCACAATGGACCCCTGGTTTCCTGGTTTTCCACCAAAAAATCGAAAAAAGTCAGGAGAAACTCAGCCGCTCCGAAGCACAGTGCTGGGGCTGTCCCCACTCCAAGGAATTCCCCAAGGAGCCACAGAGCACCACCTGACACACCCCAGTGGCTAACCATCCCAGCCATTTGGATGCAACGGTTGTTGCCATAGAAAACGGAGAGCTAAGATGAGCTAAGGGGGTTCAGCGTAATCAGAAAGGACTCGCAATTTCGCACTTCCTTCCCTTTATAAAAAGCCCTGGCCAGCAATTAGCATCAATTGGTTATCACATTCAATGCACACGACCTGCCCCACCCGCCAAGACTGACGCCTGCACTTCGTGACCCAGCACCCGCACACCTGTGAGTTCCACTCGATGTCGAAGAGGATCCGCAACTTCCCCAGGATCCGTGAGAGGTAAGGCATCAAGACCTCAGTGCCCAGTGAAGGGCCCCAACCTGACATCATCAAACTGCTCCTGGTTGGGTATTTTAGCCCATTGTTGGATTTTTGTTCAATACCCAACAAGGTGTTTTTTCGTCCATGGTGTAAATCAGAACCTCATTATCCCCATTTAGCCACCGAAAAAGTACCCCAATATACCCCCCAATATATAACCCATCAACCACCAGGGGGTAGGAAAAGGGAAACCTGGAAACATCATCTGAGGCAAAATTGGGCCCGATCTCAATCAGCTACAACTGATGGTGTGGTGACGTTTGGTGCTTGATTTGTTGATACCTGGGAGGTTCCCTGGCGATGTTTCCTCCACAAAACTTGAACAACGCCACTGTCGGTTCAGATCTCGGGCCCCCGCTGCATGAAAGAAGTCCCAAGAAATGCGGCTGGCACAGTCGCCCAGCAGAAAGAAGCTGAAGACGTAGCCAGGAGTAATCTGACGCGAAGCTCCGGCGTTGCAGGTTCTACGGTACAAGTGAGAGAATAACCACGTTGCTAAATCAGGTGGTTCAATACCTCATGTTCCCTCTTCTTTTATGGCCATAAAATGGGCATACCCCATCCCCCATGGCTTGAGACAAACTGAATCGCACCTCGAAGAGAGATGCCCCACCATCAAAGGACACTCCTCGAAACCAGCTTTCCTGCGGTCAAGCATGAACCAATGTTGACCCAGGAATTCATAGAGCCCTGATCAAATTCATCATTATATTAATATTGGCCGTACCAATTCAACTAGGAACTGAAATGAATTTAACACTATTGGGGGTCACCCGTGGTGTTCAAAAAAAAACAACAGGTTCACCTTCACCGACCTCGTAACGTGCCAGTGACAAACATCGCAAACATCTCCGCCTTCAAAAGGCTGGCGGTGGACGCTGCCGTATCTTTGACGCTGCGCCTGGCGCGAATCATTGCGTTCATATTGAGGTCGATGTGAGGCGTCATGATTTACCGAAATAGGAAAAAACTAGACCAACCTGAGGCCAACCTGGACCTATACTTTCAAATGGAAATGGTTCTTCCATTTTGGAAGTCTTAGCAATGATCATTTACATATATATATATATATACAGTTAAATCATGTAAAATCCCTATTGACCCATTGATGACCATCAATAACCAGTAGCTTCAAGTACCGGCCGCCCTGAGAAAAAGCCAGCATGACCCACTCCACCACCTGACGTCCCGATGGGCGCATCGAATCCAATCAGCTGGGCACCATCGTTTTCCACTGAGCTGGCCACAAAAAAGCACGTCTTCCAGTGCCCAGGATCAATGCATTGCCTGGGGTTCAACACTTTCCAGATGCGGAGACGGAGACCCTCTTAGGTGGAAGTTCGTAACGTCGTAACCATACTGACAAGTAAGTTCATTCTGCTCAAACTAAGTCCTAGACCTACAAATGAAAACTTGGTGCGCTGATTTCGGGAATTCATGGACTTGATGCGGTCAACAAAGCCCCGGCTGGATCCTCAAGCAGCTGAAAAAGCTGAGTCAGCGGCTATCGGCTTTGACCAGGACAAGTTCAAACCTGGAATGGTCCGAAGAAAATGGAAGTGCACTAAGAGATTATTTGAGATTGGGCCATACAAAGAGAGTCTTAGAGTCTCTGGTGTCTCAGAGCTGATGCGTTGCCTGTAAAATCAATTGCTCTTTCTCAGTGACTGGGTGAACTCAACCCACAAAAAGAATTGTGGGAAAAGCGAGACTAGATTACCTAAAACTCCACTAAGTTTCATTCCTGTTGAGCTTTAAACATCTCTGAGGTGTCTGAAATCAGGACGCGCCACGAAGCACTCAGCGGAGCGTCGCTCAGAGCTTCAGCCTCAAGAACTTGGGTCCTTTTCACGTCTGAAACTTCTGAAACCATCAATTTTGGGTGGGCGAATTTTGATCCAAATCTGCTCAATCGACTTTCCACCCAGACTTGTCGAGACTACGAAACACCAGCTGGGTTTTCTCCGAAAATCGGCTACGGTACATCCCAAATTTATTGGTTTAAAACCTCTGTGTGTCCCTATTGCCGCCATTTTATGGATGGGATACCCAAAAAGTTCAGACACACCCAGCTGCTGCCCATTTTCAGATCCGCCTCGAGAGCTTCAAGGCATGCTGTTGTTGAGCTGGCCTGGCGCCAGCCATAGCGTCGCTGTTGTTCTTGATTACTATTGCTGACTGCTGCTCCTAATTATACCGTAATTATAGTAGTAGTTAGTAGTATAATTTTCATTTTCATCATCATCATCATCATCATCATCATGGTAAATATCATGATGTACAGTATCACTACTATTATGCGCATCGCGAATCTTATCGTGATTAGAGTGTTTTGGAGAAAAGAAGGAAATGCAAGTTGCAGTGCTAGCAGCATCTGCGCCTCATGCACACACGGGCCCAGTGGCCCCTCGTCCCTGAGCCTTCCAACTCCAACAGACGTGCCACCTGCAGGAGAGCAGCTTTTCACCACAAAGGTCACGTGAATCATGGTCCAACATGGTCCAACTGCCTAAGGCATCAGAAAGCGCCAGGGAAAAGCTTCCCAAGACCTGACGACTGCTGTGGATCTAAGCGGAAAAACAAAACTCCCGGGGGATCCGAGAATTTAAAAGCCAAGGGCCAAGGGTATGATACTGTAGGTCTTCAATCTTCAATAACCTGTGAGCATCGAATCTCCATGATCAAAGTCCACTCCTATCCACAAAGTATGGTGAAATTCACACAACATTGCACCTCGGCATCAAAGGCTTTGGGATCTGCGCTGATCTCCAATGCATCCTAGCACTCAGAATGATCTGGCATGAGAATATTCTCGAACGGAATCATCGAATGGCCAAATCTGTGCCATTGCACGTGTGTAGACTATATAAAACATATGTAAAAGTGCATTTTGTGATGATATTCTCTTATGGGGAAACTGAAGATGGCTACAAGCCAGCTACCTGAACTTATACTTAACTTATCCCCAAAACTGATGCACTTTTGCTCATCAGAGGGCCAGGTAGTGGCAAGAGTTGCCATTTAATTTGAGGGATCTTGAACATTCTGGAACTCTGAAGCCATGCAATTCATTCATATCACTTGAAAACCATCTCATTTGACAGGTGAATCCATACTTTGACCCACGGATGTTGCTGAAGCTCTGGCGGAAGAATCCCTAGGGTCGGCGCCTTCGACCACAAGTTCGGGAAGTTCCTATTGGGCCTCGGTTGGGGGAATTCCTATTGGGGCTACCTGAAGAGCTCGAAAAGTGGATTCCAACAAAATTTGATAAGTTTGCCTTTTTCTATCTTTTTGAGACCCCAGGTCATGTCCTGATGTTGTTTTTGTTCACAAGAGTGGGAAGTCTAGGGGGCCTGAGACCTGAATCCGATTTCATGAGTGGACACAGCAGCACCGTCGCTCCGACCATGAACCAAATAGGAATGTGTTCAACACCCCAGGCTTCCCGGCGCTGGAAAGAACTCCGCCAGTCTCTCGATGTCTTCGCGTGGCAAAGGTGCTCGATGGACACCTCAAAAGCTGCAGAGGGGGCATGGCTTTCATGCGGATAAACTACATATTATATATAATGTGTACAATTGTGTACATATAAATACTCTATATGAATTACATATAGTCCAATAGTCTATATGAGTATATAAATGCAATTAATTCATCAATTCATTCATTTCGTTCGTTTCATTTCATGTCAGTTCATTTCATTCTATTCCATTCATTCATTCATTTCATATCTGGAACATAATATCCCCTGCTTTAAGGTTCGTTGGCACAGCAGGTCTTTCACCGCCGTATCTTAACGTATCTCAAAGACCTGTAGAGATCTGTATCGTGCGCCCAACATGCTGTCCTCAATATCAGTTGCAAACAATCCACGATTTGGAAGTTACCCTCCCGTAGACTAACATCGCTATTGGTTTTACATATCTATATTGGTTCACTGAAAGTTAAGACTCCAGAAACTTCCCCACGCAACCATATTGTAATTCAGCACACAGCATACTCATCAATCAAAGTCTGCCCATAACCACATTTGTATTTTCACTTTTTGCCTTCAATTCTGATTCTCCTGGCCAGGTGTTGATCAAATCCTCAACTTATGGCAATGAGCAAAGAATCCCCAATCCTCTGGTCGACTCCCAATCTTTGCCTTCAAAGAACAATCAAAAACTGAGGATTTGTTGGTGGACACTTCCATGATGCCCCTCTGAGGCAACAGCTGGAGATCCACACCGACACCAACACGCCGACAGCTGTTACTGCCTCGATACCATGTCTATTTGCAGGAACTCAACACATGGCTTTGTCTGACAAATAGGGGGATCCCCATTCTGGCACAAACACCATCAAACACCTATCCATTTCGTTCATGAAATTCCTGGTTTCGACAGTGAAATCCTCATTCTGGTTGGTTAAATACCCCAGACAGAGGAATGCAGAAGCCCTTTCCAAAGCATTTCCTCAGAACTTGGCGAGATAGTACAGCCTCGGTACTGAGCCATGTCGTGAGACAATTTGGCTCATGTTTTTTTCTCGCTGAAGTGGGTATACGCTATAGGCCAAATGGGGTAAGAATTGGAACCACAAAATTTGTAATTTTTAGAATTGAACCAAATCATTTGGAGGGTAAATAATTCTGAGCCATACCAAGAATGTAAATTCAGAAGGCCACGGACGAGGCGTGCTTTGACTTTCCATGTGTACTCTTGCGCTCGGTCTTGGGTCAACACAAGGCAAGCAAACGCAACTTTGATGCCATGGCTGCTATCTCATGAAGCGCAGGCAAGCAAAAGTTTACTTATATACTGGTTATGGGTTCCAACTTTCCAACCAATCCACCATTTTCGCGGCCAGAAAAATCTTAGAGTCACGAGGGAGAGGGCAATCGTCTAGATCAATCTTCATGTGCGGCCAATCTAGTTCAATGGCATGATTAAGATTGACAGCAAACAATCAGTTTCCTTTGGGCTTTACAGTGACTTTACCGAGCACCGAGTCGAAGGTCTCTGCATCCTGTTCTCTTGATTTGGACAAATGGTAGGAGTCACCGTCACCCTGCAAGCAATTTGGATTTGTTGTGTCAAAGTGGTTTTTAAAAGGCAAAACACTTATTGTCAAGCTCCTTGACATCATATTCTGTCCAGTGCTCGAGCCAAACACGTGGCTTCATCCGTCAACACTCAAAGCAGCTTGCGGCAGGGTCCAAGGTGAAATGTTCACAGCCCACAAAAGCAATCAATTCGCAAGGGACAATCAATCCAATTCGACACATCATGATTTGTGAACATCTGATGCCTCAAAAACAATGTCCCTTCAAACGTAATTGTCAATTTAGTGTTTTAAGAAACAGTCCTCTGGGACAAACTCCCAAGTCCAAAGCCAGGGTCTGGAATGATGTCAAATTGAGTTCTTTGTTTAAAAAACGCTATCGGGTGGTTTATGACGCAAAGTCCAGTCTGATGGTCTCATGGCTGCCAGCCGCGCAGCACACCTTTTTTTCAGCTACCACCTGCCTTCGCCTTTGCAGCCTTGGCACAAATGTGAGGGAATGTCAAAAGGTGTGGATGTACTCGGAATGTTGCGACCATTTGCACCCGCAAAATGCTTCGATGCCAATCAACAGACAAAACCGGGCTTTGTCGGTGAATATGTTTTTCTGTGATTAAATCAGCATGTTTCACAATCACATGTCATAGCCCGCGAAGTGTGCTTTTCTGGATTTTGCATCCCAGAGTTTGCAACTCAAGAAGCCACCAATAATTGAAGGCCCGTCGCAACTCACTGGCAGATGCAGAGGTACCACCTGAGTATCCAATTCCCTCATCATAATTTCCAGAAAAAGGTGGCAGCATGATTTGCCAACATTTGATGCCTCAGGAACAATATCCCTTTCAACGACACGGTTTCTACTCTTCTGTGCGAAGTCATAGCTGGTGTCTAGTTGAGGCTCACTCCAGGCCTGGAATGTCCAACACGGAAGCTTTATGTCGAGCAGCGTCTGAAGTAACTTGGTGGTCTCATCTTTTTTGTTCCCCCAACTTTGCAAGCCAAGTTGGTGGCATATTACTATGTTCAGTCATCTGGCTGCTGAGCCTGTGACAGCTTGTTTTGGCAAAGGATGGAACAGACTGGCTGCGCAGCAAGCCTCTTTTAGCAGCCACCACCCTGTCTGTCTGCCTTTGCCTTGGCATTGGTTCTGTGTTGGAACCCCGAATTCCAGTGATTTGAAACAATTTTACCCATCAAAGTTCTGATGCATAAAACTGTTATGCCAATTATCCTCTGAGGTGGCGTGGATGCACTCAGTACAAATGTTTGTACATATTTTCGCGGGTAAATGCTGCTGCACAAGCAAGAGTAGAAGAAACATTACCATTTCGCAAAGCAGCGATCGGAAGATGTTTGCCACATGCATCAAAAAAGAAATTGGTGGCATGCCTTCAGATCAATGGCTTCCAACTCAACTTTCCAGCTGGCATAGGTCAAACTTGCCCACCCAAAACCTTCAGGTGTGCAGCCACTTTGGGGGGTGGAGCACCAAAGTTTCCCATGATTAAATTGTTGATTGTTGTAAGGAAAATCCGCCTGTCTCTTTGTGGTATAAACCCAAATGTTTTGTTGGGCCAAGGGTTCTCGTTTGTGTTAGTTCCACTAAGAGAACAATGACGAAGCACAAATTGCATTGCAATCGCAGTTCATTCTGAGAATGTCATAGTTTTTTGAATGGCAGGTGCAGTGCTTGGGACATCTTTCTTCTTTACGCAGTGGCACGGCAGGAGAGATGAGATGCGAACTGACTGGCAGGCGCACTCTTTGGTGAAATTGCAAGGGTGATGTCAAGATTTGTGTTCCAAAGAGGTCCTACAAGAGGGTCTGGCAAGAAGGGCTGGCAAGAGTGTCTCATAAAGTGTCCAAGACGATGGTCTTGTCGCGCAGTTTCACAGGAGTAACACAGTGTCTTTCAGGAGTTTCGCAGAAGAGTCTCTCGGAAGAGTGTCTCCAAAGAGCTGACTACAACATTTTTGCAACAAGAGCATCTTGCAGAAGTGTCTATTGAAGGTGCACGACAAGAATGTCTTACAGAAGCGTCCCACAAGAGTTGCTTGGAGGAATGTCTTCCCGGAGTGTCTCAAAGAGATGTTTGAAAGAGTGTCCCACAGGAATGTTTTTGGAAGTGACAACAGTTTCTTGAACGTGCTCTGCTTTTGTGCGTTCGGGTTTGTGGGTTCTATCGCTGATTCTTGGTTAGATCCTAAATTATTCTTGGTCAAATTCCCAATTGTCTTACTGAAATCACCATTCTTGATGGTTGAACGAACCTCCATCTTTGATGGTTAAATCACCATTTTGACAGTTCAAAGATCCAAAACAAAATGACGCGCGCCTGCGCGCGTTCTTCTCTTCGAGCCTCTCTCTTCGCCGTCAGCTCTTCTCGCCGTTGCTTCCTGGACAACGTCGTCATGTTTCGGCGGAGCTTGAACCCTGTAATAGCGAAAAACGTGTATCTCTATGTCTATACATGTATATATGTACACACAGATATACATGTAACATGTCTGTGTGAAGATGTGTGTCTACTGTATATAATATATATACTGTGAGTGTGTATGTATGTATGTACGTACGTACGTACGTACGTATGTATGTATGTGTGTATATACGTACGTACGTACGTACGTACGTACGTATGTATGTACGTACGTACGTACGTACGTACGTATGTATGTATGTATGTATGTCTGCGTGTGTGTGTGTGCATGCATGTATCTATAAATGTATATATATATATATGTATATATGTAAACGTATGTGTATATATATATGTCCATATATATATATGTGTGTCTATATACATATATATATATATACATGTCTGTGTGATATGTATAATATATTATACATATATATATATGTGCGTGTTCTTATACGTGGGATCTGTACATGTTTATCCAATATACATACCTAAATTTTGACCTCACCGGCTGCATCTCTCAGCACTCCCAGTGGAACCAGAATTCAGATTTTCCATCAACCCAGAATCTCCACAAAAAAAAAAAAAAACAGCATAAGGCCCACTAACCATGTCCAAACATCATTTTTCATAAGGGCTTCAAAATCTCCTCTTTCTTGGTGAATCTCCCTAGATTCGGTGGGTCACCATTTTTCATGGTCCACACCTGAAGGTCTGTCGCAACTCATCGGCAATTGCGGGAGGAGGTACCACCTGGGCCGAGTGGAGAGGAATGGAAGGATGGTATAGGCATAGGTGGCATAGGTATCTTCAAAGGGAAGATCTGAGGCTAAGTACGAGGAACTGGGATATTAAATGATATTCACAACAATCCACATAAATATATATATATATAATACTGGTAGATTAGTTTCAGGGACATTTTACGGCCTGGTTTTGGGCCCCAAATTGGTTTGAGGTTCCCGTTGGTGTATGGAGTAAGAAACCTGCACACCTCCATTTTCGCAACCTAAGCAATCGCATCAATCGTGTGGGCATCCCTTGTTTCCAGGCATCATTATCCATACCCAAACCAGCCAATAACCAAAGAAATGAAGATTAATGAGGACTTCTTTAGAAGATTCAGAAAACTGAACCAAGACGCTAGTTTTGCTTTGAGTTGATGTGGTGAACCCAACAACAAACACACAATTGAGTCGAGGTCTGTAAATTGGGTATGTGTTTCCACTTACATAGCTACGATTTACTGCCGTTGCCCAGACAAGTCCTGTCCACGGACAAGCCTTGACAATGTTGTCCTCATGGTACAGCACTGACACTGTGTCGCCAGACCTTGAAAGAAGTTTATGGCGTTTTTGGTAAGGTCCAAAATTCCAAACTTGTTTCGGGATGTTCAAGGGATTGTTTCACAAACGGGTTTTGAAACAACGTGTGTGTGTGTATATATATATATATATTTAGGCGGTGAAATCATGATTTCCTGTAGTTCCCTTAAACCAACCCATTGACAATTGGAAGATCTTCCGAAGAATGCAATGTATCAAAAAAGAGGAATCTCCGCATTATTGATTCAAAAACAACATCTGCAAGACTGGGTGCATTGATACGGTTGCGAATGCAAATAGAAAGATTTCTCATAGTTTCTCTTCATCAGCCTGCGAACGCTGCCTTCCAGGTAAAGGACGCGTCTGTGTGCAATGACTGATCATGTCCTTAGACTTGCCACTCTATGGAAGAAATTGTAGAAGACCAGTCAGTAGATTTGCTGTAGTAGCCGGTAAAAAAGATCGTAACACCTCAATTTACCTTACTATGTTACTATGTCTGCAGTTTCAGTGGGAATTGACTCCCCAACTCACCACACTGCCATACCCAACTCACACCATGCCACGTCAACAGAGCGGTGGCGTCTCCCACTTGCTCAGCGCTAATCTCCACCTCCAGCATTTGGGCTGAAAATGTGATGGTTAAGAATGATTTCACCATAGGTGAGTAATGATTGCTATACAATAGTTAATGGTTGATGATAATTAACCATGGGCCAATAGTAAACTACAGTAAACCAGATGGTGAACAAAAAATTGATAAAAATGGTGGTATAATACGGTGATGATTGGCGGAATAGTGGTGGCCATCCCAATCATCGTCAAAAAGGTCATCAATGAGGAAACGACTGGTTCGTCACAAACAGAGTCCTTGTTCGAGAACTGACGACAAACGATTATTTCATGTTTTGCCATTAAGTGTCAAACTTGCCAGTTCGACAATTCTTGGAGTTCTCCATCATTTATGATTTCATGGGCCCTCACCAGAATCACAAGCAAGTTGACAGTTCAAAGTCATCTATGCAATTCTTATTTCAGCGATGCCTTACTCGATTTGATTCTGGCTTTGCCACCCCGGAACGCCCGATAAATCTACTTCATGTACAGTGAGTGCTAATGGACAAAAACATGGTCAAAACAAAGGATGGAATGCAAAAATGGAGATTTTTATGCACGAGGATACAGTTGCTTCAGAGACGGCGACAGTAAAGACCGCACAGGACAAACAGAGCTTGAAAAACTTGTAGGGGGACTTGCAATACCAAGAGAGACTCTCAGTTGACACATGTCGGGAAAAATATGCCATTAAAATATGTAAACTGTTGGTGCTTCAGTGAAATCTGTGGTGTTTGTCTCTAGGATCAACACTGGAACCGGAAATATCAGGAGTATTCAGGAGTTGCACGTGTCACGTCGACTTGGTATTGATTCATCCTTCAATGGCTTTGGGTCAAAATGTTGAACCAAACAGTGGATGGCTTGAAAACTGATTTTAGTATTGTAAATTCATTGTAAATTCCCCATGTGGACTTATCCCCAAATCCTTCCACCAAAATTTTGCGCACCTCATTGAAGTTCGAATCTGCCAGGACCAGTCGCTCTTCGTCCTGGGAGTTCGGTTCTGCTGTTATGATCTCACTGGGTCCAAGTTAAATTAATAATGAGTTAGTGACAGTTAGTGAATGAGTTATAAGTTGTACCATGTTGTACCCAATTATATCACATAAATTCACATACATCCCAGTTGGATGAGGTTTATAATTTTGGCCGTAATTAGAACGAATGATTAGGAGGTGGGCAATTTTACCCGAAACATCCCGAAACAATGGCATTTGATGGAATATTCCACCCATTTTCCAGGCATTACAATCCCCCAACTAACATGACCCTGCCATCAGTGGGGCTTAGAAGATGAGTTTCCACTACAAATTGGCTAGTTTCTGTTGGTTGAAGAGTCGGGTCAGGTAATCCCACCATCTCGCCTGATACAGCACTGGCATGCTGACGCGATCGCATTCGATCACTTCCAGGGTCTCCGACTGGCGCGAGACTTGCTGCAGGATTGATGAAACGCGCAACCAACGATGCGAGTCTGTGCGAAGAGGCGAAACAATGGGATTTGGAGGTAGAGTTTTTCAGAGAAACCCATGTATTTTGGGAATCTGGGATGAAAACTTCAGCATCGGCATATCTGTCGCAGATTTTTCTCAGCGAGGTCTTAGGAGGATGGTACCCCTAGAACTGCGCGTTGCAGATGTCACATAGGCCTTGGGTCATGGACATGAAGAGTTCAGGGTTTCAAATTTGGCATTTCAAAACAGTCGATCAAAGTTGGCCTAAGCTGGCAAATGCACTAAACCTTTGACCAAATGATTTCCAATAGATGGGAGGTACACCAGCTTTGAAAACCTGAAAGTTGGGTCCTTTGTCAGAGACCAAAAGGGTGGTTTTGTGGACCTTTGGTCCCTCCTCACCCGTGCGCGAAGCAGGCGGGGTGGTCGAAACTACTGACTGAAGGGTCTTTGGTGAACGGAAGCATACCAGCAGATCGCGGCCACTCCGTTCGACCAGAGTTGTTCCAACCAACCCGGAGATCACCAAAGAGAGCATTGGATGAAGCTTGTGCTGGCCAAAGGAACCCCCCTAGTCACAAAGGCCAGCGGCTGCACATAGTTGATCTCAAAATCATCACGTTTGCTCTTCAAACTACAAATCCACGAAAAGCATGAGAGGCCACTCTCCTCAGCCATGAACTCAAACCAGGATTCCTCACCAGTATAGAAAATGAGGCTGCCCATTTCGGCTGGGGACATGAGATTCAGAAGCTTTTGAACAACTTTCCTGGCTTCTGCGGGAGTGAAGTAAGCATGCATCAGTGGAAGATTGGTATTCTCGTCGTCTTCCAAGTACCGCAAGACCTTGTTTTGATACTCCCCGAAGCTGTTTTGGATCCCCTGTAGAAATTCCTTTGAGCGCGATGCTTTCAAGGACTTCATTTGTACATCAAGTCCATCCGCTGCTTGCCGAATTTCCAAATGGCTTTCTTTCATCCTACCATCCATATTGATCCGTTCGGCCAGGAATGGCATCACCACATCGCTCTGGTTTCTCAAGCTGGAGGAAATGAGCTCTTTGTGCCGCGCCCAAGCACCCTTGATGACGTCCGCCTGCCACTGTTCAAGCTCAAAACGCCCCGAAACAGCACGGATGGCAGCCTGCATGTCCTTCAAGCCACTGCGAAGGGAGTTCCGCCACATCCACCAAAAATCACGTGAGAGGGGTTTTCCCTCCCACTCCTTCTCCTTATCCGAGGGAAAGTCCCTACTCTTCTGCCATGCCGCATCGTACGGGTTGAAGCCCCCAGAGGGACTGGAGCAACTCAACCACTGCATGGTCTCTCAGCCTTGAACCAAAATCCATGCGACCCATTCTGGCTGAGAGTGATTCACCAACCTGAAGTGGGTCCTTGTCAGGATCATGCGTCGCACACTCCTTTTCCATGCTTCGGCGAAAAGAAAAGCATGTTCTACGCCGAGGGTCATCACCGTGAAATGTCTGACAAAATCCTGGTACAATGGATTAATGGATTTGTCTGTAAATAGGGTGCCGCATTCCATCCACGGGTTTAGCACCATTTCCTCCAATTCACATGGCAATGTAGGGGGCGCGTCCCCTTTTTTCATACAGATCCAATCCAGTATTTATATACATCGTCGTTCGATGTTATTTGGTTCTTCATATGATTAAGTTCCCTTTTTTATCAGGTAAATCCATATGTTTCACCAATTTGGATGGTTTAGTCCCACATCCTCATCTATGTGCCTTGGAACCGCCCAGCTATGGCCTCCTTGAGCTTCACCTCTCTCGCCTTCCGGGTCAGCAACTCGCGATAGCGAACCTCGCGGATCAGGTGAGGATTCACGGATGGACACATTTAATTGAACGAGATTGGAAGAGATTAAAACGACATGATTGTAAATCTTAGATTCAACCTATGATTGAAATTCTATTGATTATAAACCTATGATTTTGACTTTTTTTAGATCTTCAGACATTCCACAATGACTTTCCGGAAGCCGCCTCGTACTTCGGCGAACGCCCTTGCCCAGCAGCTCGTGCACTGCGAACCTCATTTCATGCCATGGACCAACATGGTCATCCCATCTCCTTAAAAAAAAACTCCAGAAACCATGGTTTTGTCGAGATTTTCCACATAAAAAACGGATTATTGACGGGGCGTTTCATATTGGGGGGATGGGACTATGGTCATAGGGGGTATGACCATCTCCAAATAGGGGCAATCCAACTTTTGACGATGACACGATGGTTTGATGAGTAAAACACATAACGAGTGAAACACAATGATGAACCATCCCAATGTCTTCCGCACTTGGGATTTATGAAATTGTACCCCTACTTGTGGCCGGAAACCCATCAAATATTGTTTGAGAATTATCCTTCAGCATCCTATCAACCATACCATACCGCATGGAACTTCTAGATATGTATCAATGCAATAAACCCTTTAAAAATGTTTTTTTTACAGTATACAAACATTATACATACATAATACATACATTGTACATACATTATACATACATTATACATACATGCATGCATGCTTGCATGCATGCATGCATGCATCCATCCATACATATATACATACATATATATATACTCAACAGCCATTTTGAGAGCACAGTGGCTCCACCGAAACGACCAAACCAAAATGCCATCTTTACTGCAACCTCTCCCCAGGGCACAAGGGGAAAAAACACCCTAAAGGTGAAACAAAAACCCATGCGAAGTGGGGCATGTACAGTGTTTGCCCTTCAAAATATCGCTCTTTTTGTTGGATTTTACGAACTCCTATATCTTTTTGGGGTTTCCAAGAGCCACAGCTAGATTGATACGTCATAGATGCCAGCACTTGAGGTTCCAGCTTCGCAGTAGGCACCTGGCGATGGCCATGAATAGGGCAGATCAATGGACACAAAATCTGGCGACATATGTACATATATACATATATACATATATACATATATACATATATACATATATACATATATATATATATATACATATATATACATATATACATATATACATGTGGCTCCCCAGGTAAGAGTCCACAAGGGTAGGGAAACCGGTACCAACCAGTTTCGTGGATTTGGGGTCCTACCCCAAAAAGGAAATCCCCTTACAGGGCTCTTCACCGTGACCCCCTGGGCCCAATATGAACACATACCTGGCTGCCCACAGCAGCAGCGTCCTCGCTTTTGCACCTCACGTGCCTTGAGCCATGCGCAGTGGCGATGGCGAAGTCTGTGATTTCCCCAGGCAGCCTGCAGATGGCGTATGGTTCGTACATCCAAGGGTGTTCAATTCACACTGGTCTATTTTTCTTTTGGATGTACTTTCGGATCCTCATCTTCCAGTGCTGCAGCTGGTAAGGATACCCACTTGGCCGCGATCTTGCGGTGTGAGTTGTTCTGCAACGTTTGGCTTTCATCAAAGATTCGAAATCTTCCCAGCCGTAGCACTGACCTCAGAAAAGAGGATTCCATCGGCTTCGTCAGACAGTCAGCCAGCATTATTGCTGTTGAAATCCAACGGCACTGCGAATGCCCTTCTGCTTGCTGCTTTATAAGCATTACCTCCACAGTAGTTCTCCACTCCTCACAGTTGGGCACTGCCAGTTTAGTGACTAGGTCATATAAACTTTTGCAGTCTGTAATAAGTAGAGCTTTGGGACATGCTTGTAGGGAACTTTCGGGATATTGCCACTTGAAGGTTGGGCTCAGGATATAACCCCATAAACACCTGAGCCAAGTTAATTTGTCAAGAGAAGAGCTCATTGCATATGCCTCAGCACTAAGCGTTGATCTCACCACTCTACCTATTTGTTTGCTGTTCCAGGACATTGGACTGATCTCGGATGTTTTGTTCGCAGCAAGTTCGGGCGTGCATGCAACGATGAATAACCCTTGTTGGGCCTTTAACTGAGAGGCGCTAGCAAAACTTGCGTCACCAAAACTTGCGAAGGTGATCCGTTCTAATGGCAAAGGTCTCACCATTATGGACGTGTCTGCGGTCTGCTGGGCTTCAATCAGCACTCTGTTGGCATCAAAAAGGGTTGACACTGTCGCCTTGCAAATGTTCTTTTGGATGAAGGCTACCTTTGCTGCTATGTCGGGCCGACTATGTACAGCTGCATACTGTAAACTTCCACACAAACCCCTCAAGTCTTGAACTTCTTGTGCGTTGGCCATCTCATTTTTATTGGCTTTCCTATTCTTGGGTACTTGTATCTGTTCGATCTTATTGATATATGGTTCTTGGCTGATTTTGATGGAATTGTCAGGCAGCTGTTCAATCTCTAGACCCGTGAACCGAAACTTCCTAAACTCCCTTTGTCCAAAGGGAAGCACTTTCTGCAATTCTTTCAAGGCATTTTCATAGTGGTGATTACCCCCTCCTATGCCATCGTCAACATGAGTTCCTAAGATCCCATCCAGAACTTCAGGATTGGTTTTGTTTCGCAACAAAAACAGGCAATTATCGAGTGGATGAGCTTCAAACCCCACTTTTTCAAGTTGACGTCTAAACTCTTTATAAAAGAGCAGTGGTGCGTCAACCCTGCCATATGCGTTCCCCTCCAGCAACAGGACTTCGTCGCTTGTCATTTTCAAAAGTTTCTGGAGTTCCGGAACGGGTTCCATGGCTAATTGCCTTCCATCGGATTTCCCACGCAGAAAGGCCGTGGTAATGTCAAAGTTCTGAACTACCCAACCCATCGATGAAATCATCTGCAAACACAGCATTCGAGCATCTCTAGACAAGGTCGGGGATTCAGTGCTTACCTGATCAAGTTCGGGGTCTTGGTAGCCCCGTACAACAAGTCTGGCTTTTGCCTTTTGACCCTTGGGCATGGATGGGTCGGGCTTCCACGTTAAAATCCATCGACTGGTCATGATGCGGTTGGGGGAAATTTTAGATCTCATGATTTTCCTGACAGCACTGGTTTCTAACCAACAGTTTAGTTCTTTGGTCTTGGCTTTGTCAAAGAGATCTTTCTCGGATGCATTCAAGGTGGCATATCGGACTTCGGAACATGCACGTCTGGCTGCAGTGGCTAAAAATGAGGTGTTCATTTTGGGATCTTTCATGAACCTTTGGACATGCTGCTTGGGGACCTCGAATTCATACTCACAGTATGGTCGCTGGTCCTCTTGAGCATCATTCCACAGCGTGTCTTCGTCGCTTGGAATGGCAGGTCCGGGAACGTTTGACTCCGAAAAGAAGGCATTATAGACGATGTTGCTGTCTTCAATGCTCTCATTCCCACCTAGGTTCTCCCCAAAGTTACTCCCCGTAACACTATTATCCCCATTTGGCTCTGGTGCAAAGCTACTTGGTGACACATCACTGTTCTCGCTCCATTCATGTTCTACACTTTCTGGGATGGCCACTTCTTCGGGACGTAGTTCTCGAGCTTCAGACACAGGTTCATGTGAGGCTCTTCTAGAGGGTTCTTCTTCCGGTTGAATTCCCTGATGGGGATCATCTTCAGTGGGTGCTTCAACTATGACTTCACTTAAGTCTGAGAATTGGAACATTCCACTTCTTTCATGGAGTCTCCTTTGCAAATTCTCAGCCAACTTTTGGGCATGTTGGGCATCTATTTGTTGGTTGAAAGACGCATGCCGCTCAAACTCCCTGAGGCTGACAGGACGGAGGTTGTCTCTTGCACATCTCAACAGCCGGTTTAGGTGGGTTATCCAAACAATAGTCTTTGATTCAACCAAAACGATCTGAGCCGGGCCACACCATTTACCCTTTTCTATCATGTTGGCTGATTTGCGTTTATCCCAGAACATACAGGGTTGCCCACATTTCCACTCATTGATTTCCCCTCTGGACTTTCTTAGGGTGGCCCTGCGGATTGCTTGACTGTTGTCACTGTCAATGAAGGCTTTTCTGGCCAACACTCTGAGCTCAAGCGATGCACGAAACTTCTCTGCCTCAGGCCCTTCGTTGAAGGCTGCATGCATATGTGCCGGAGTGTTTTCATCACTTGTCAGTGATGCAGGAAGTTTTGTCGCTTTTCCCAATACTGCTTGTTCAGGACTGTAACCGCAGGTTGTAGAGAGACTATTCTTGGCTCGAAAAACTTGGAACAAGGCTCTCTCGAATTCTCCTTCATTGTTTATTGGCTGGGCTTGATCTATTCTGGACAGCATTTCTTTCACAATTGCTCCATGTCTTTCAATTCTGCCTCTCTGCCATGGCCCCGCAGTGAGTATTGGAGTGATATTCCCTTGTTGGAGGAATTCCTTCCATGGTTCAGCAACAAATTCACCTCCGCAATCCATGACTAATTCACTTGGCGTTCCCGCCCAGCTGCTCCAGCATTCTTCAAACACTTTTTGGGCTTGGATTCCATCACGGACCGTGCGTCTCCCCAAATGAAATTGGGTGGCTTCATCAATCAAGTGAACAACATACCCTTGATATCCAGTGGTGCTCTTCCAATCAAAACCATCAATGTAAATTCGGTGGTTAAAATCTCTGGCTTCTTTGAGGGTTCCGGCTGGGTTCAAACTTGGTGGTCGCCTTTCAACGCAGGATGGACATAGGTAATCCAAGGCACCATGGACCAGTAGCTCTTCGGCTCCCAGTTCTGCTAAATGTTTGGACAAACGCTCTGAGGTCGGGTGACCAAGATTATGATGTAATTTTCGGATATATGCCTTTCTGGGTTCTGACAGCTTGAGGAATCTTGGACCAGACACCGACACTGCAGCTGACGTCCATGAATTGGCGGGCATGACATGTGAAAAGTCGGGCGCCGAGACATCGGGATTCTCAGCATGAGGCTCTTCGCTGACTCTACTGGTGGAGTCACTCGTTGGGACTGGCATGTCAAGTGTCCCCGACATGGTTCCAGGGTCTTCCATTGCTACTTTTCCTACACCTGGGACCTCTGTGGCTTCTCTTTGTCTACCAAAGACACATATCATGACATGAGACGGCATGGATGCTCTTCTTTTCTGATGACTGTTGGGCATGGACTGGAGGTCTTCGATTCCAAGGTCAAACACTTCATATGACAGTCGGCTCAAAACTACCGTTCTTCTGTGAGGCAAATTATCTGGATGGACCATGTATTTCTCTCGGCCTTTGCATGCCATGACTGACTGGACTTGCATTCCAGGGCAAAGATTTTGGAGAACCTGAACTTCCGCATTATGAGGACCGTCCCATTTAGTTACCCCCGATTTAGGTAATTCCTTCCGATATTTATCCATTATCCCTTTCCATCTTATGTCATCAATTTTCTTTGGTGGTTCTTCTTCATGAGTTCTTTTCCGGCTTGACCTCTTTGTTGTTTCACTTTCATCGACTCTGGAACGTTTTGTCTTGCCCTCCAACGCACTTCCGGAATCTTCCAGCTTCCGGACGGGAAAACATTCTTGCTGAACGACCATTGTCGGAACGGTTACATGTTCATGCGCTGGTCGCATGATCACCTCGGCAATCTTCCTTGCAAGAACTCTGGGATAGAAGGCTGAAAAACGGGACACCTGTACAAGTTTTCCATTTACATGGCATGATCCAGCAACATGGGCATGAGCATGATCTTTTTGACACAGTCGGTTATCCAGGCTTCTAAACATTTCCTCGGATGAGGTTTGAACACGGGTGCTCTTTTGCATTGGTTCTTGCAAAGACGGATGCCTCAAACCGAACTGGCACTGGTCGAAGAAGGCTGGCTTGGTGCGGCCGTATACATCTTGCATTTCTTCCTGTTGCCACATTCCGGAAGGTTTGGGATTTTCAAGGTGAAAATGGTCACCACGATCCAACTGTATCTTGCAAATGAGATCACACATATGAAGCTGGTCTTTGGAAGCAGCTTGATTTTCACGGATGCGGCTGTAGGATTCCATGCTTTTGGTCTGGCTCAGTCGATTCCAAGGGTTCCAAGGGCCACACTCTGGAGCAAGCCATATGTGTCGTGGCTTCCACAAAAAGATCTTTCGGAACAACTTGATTTGTCCTTCCGTGGTACTCAAGTCTCCATCTTCAAAGGTAAATCTTTTGGCTACCCCACCCCTCTTATTGACTTCTTCTGTTAATCGGCTACTGTTGCTGGCGTAGACTTCAAGGAGATCTATGGGTTTGTGACTGTGAATTGGCATGTGATGTCGACATTGATTCATCATGTGCAATTCATAGGCATTCTCCAAGAGCATCGGCTGGCCTGGATTCACTGATCTTACTGCCGGCCTCTCAGTGCTTGCTTCTCCATGTCGCTTCGGGCTTGGCAGTAGGTGATGAAGTCTTGCATGGCCGGGGTCGCGTTCTTGGCTCGTGCACTGACCCAGTCGACATAGCTTTGGTGTTCTTCGTACACTTCGGTGAATCGTCTCCCACTGTGGGTTTTCCCCCAAGACACTCTCTTGTTGCCCCAAGACTCCAAGGCCTGAGCAGTCAGCGCGAGTTGACTTTCTCGGTTGTTCTCTGGAATCAGGTTCTGGTTCAGGTGGCTCATAGTTGAAGCTCCTTGGGATCTCGGCTGGCTCTTCTTGGGTGGGGTCCTCGTTGCAGCTCTGATTTCCTCTTCCTCCTCCAGCTCCCATGAATGATCCGATAGGACTCCAACTTCCGAAGGACTGGGTCCAACGCGACTTGAAGACCTCTTCGGGGATCTGGTTTCTTTGAGGATCTGAGAGAGTTCCTCGATCCGATCCTTCTGAGCATTCACATTGGCCAGGAGAGATTGGAGTGAGGTCGCGTGCTGCACTGTGATCTCCTGGTCTGGGGCTTTCACCTCGATTTGGTTCATCAAGATGATCAGGAGCATTCTGAGGGATTCCATCACCGCTTCGGCCGTCGATTTGATCAGCTTCATGGCATCTCTTTGAGTCAGCATTCTGCACAGACTCACTTGGGACAAGACCCGGCGGGGGCAGGACGTTGGACACTCGAACGGCTGCTGTTTCTTTGACTGACATGGCATTTTCCGTGGCACCTAGACACAGCTCTGACATCTTGAAAACATACAGTCCGTTCTCACTTTCTCGCAAGTTCAACCATCTTTGGATTTTTGACAGATAACACTGGTTCGTGGATAAATCTATCATGGCTCCTAGTGCTTTCATGGCTTGAATGGATATGAGAAAAGGTGTTGCCCGAGGAACAATTTCGACCACCATCCAAATTCTGCTACGGCCGGCAGTGATTGGGATTCTAACTTGTTTGAAACTGTAGGTTATCTGATTATTCCCAAATCTGAATCCTACTTTGCTGGGGTGTTCTTGTACTCTGGATTGCACTTCTCTCGGCAAACTTTTCAGCACACCCGGCCACAAGTCAGCTCCTATGACACTTCGGCTGGCTCCGGTGTCCAGTATTGCTAAGCCATCTTCTGCAATGGCTCCCAAGCTCGTCGGCTATGGAAGCACTCGGATGCTTCATGTTCAGGCACTGGCTGCTTCGTCCTGGGATTCAAACGACTTTGAAAAAAATGTTTGACCTGAGGAACTAGATGATGCAGGCTGAAGGCAACTTCATGGGGAATTCCGCTTTCACATTCCGGGTGCTCACTGTGGCTCTTGGTGACTGGCTGCTCACGGATGCATTTGTTCACAAAGCATCGGATGCTGTGACATGTTTTGGACATGAATTTGATTATACCCCATTTATTATCCTTAGCCCCATTACCCCTTTTATTATTCCCCATGGCTGACATCTTCCCGGCCTCTTCTGTTTCCTCGAAAATCACATGGGCTGGTTCTTCATCATCACGGGCATAGGCTCGAAAGCTCTGGTGAGTCACATAGTTTGCTTGATCAGTCGCTGCAGGAGGCTTGTTCGGGCACTCTGCTTTCCAGTGACCTTTTTCTCCGCATGCTCGACAAAATGTCCTTGAGATGCGCTGCAACAGGCTTCCTTTGCCTGACCCTTTTCGGAACTGCGAAAACTTCCCAGCACCCTTTGATTTTCCCTTTCCAGTGGCAGGCCAGAATCCTCGTGATCGCTTTCTCTCCAGGATCTTTGTTCGCGCCTCTTGGTAACTCAGCAAAGCGTTGTGGAGGTCTGGGACTTCTTGAAACATCTCTTCTAGGTCACGTTCAAAACTCATCACGTTCAAGGCGTCTGAGTCGCCCTGAGAGGCTAGGTGGTCCACAAACTCCTGGTCAAGCTCTTCTTCTTCGTGGCTGTTGTACTGGCTCACATTTCCAGCTGAAAAGGCTTCTTGCTCATTGTTCACCATGTTCTGCTCCGGTTCCACATAGTTGGTCGGGTAGACCTTCCTTTTGATTTCACCTGATGACAAAATTGATGTTGCCAGGGTTCTCATAGCTTGTTCGATCTTCTTCGTGTCCATGTCTCCATTGGTCATTGTCAGGACACGTTTCTTGTCCTCGGGACTAAATGAACTCTGTCGGAGGAGTAGGAAGGCATGGAACTCCTTGATGCTCTTTGCGCCCAGCTCGTCCATGGCAACCTGCAAGCGGTTCACGAAGCTCATGCTGGACTCATCGCTCTTTTGAACTGTCTTGTAGACAGCTTTCTCGAATTGTTCATACGTCTTCATCTCGGTGGACTCTTCCCAAGTTGACAGCGCCGCCAACAAGTTCTTGACACCGTTGTCAGGATCAACCAACTGAGCAGAATCGAGGTTCTTAACTTGTCCCCAAGCCGTTCCCCGACACAGCATGGCCAGCCGTGGGGCTAGCATTGGCCGATCTTTCTTTGGGCAGATTGTATCTATGAACTTCACCTTCTCTATGTACTCTTTGACATTGTCCACTGCAGGGTCAAACGTCGGCAGCAAGGTCCAGATGTGAGAACCTTTGTCCTCAGAGATCTCTGCAGTGGACGACATGGCAGGCGCCCCGGGCTTACCACGAAGTCACGTGGGCCCTCCGGGCTCCGCTACCAATGTGGCTCCCCGGGTAAGAGTCCACAAGGGTAGGGAAACCGGTACCAACCAGTTTCGTGGATTTGGGGTCCTACCTCAAAAAGGAAATCCCCTTACAGGGCTCTTCACCGTGAGCCCCTGGGCCCAATATGAACTTGTTACACTTCTCCATACCTGGCTGCCCACAGCAGCAGCGTCCTCGCTTTTGCACCTCACGTGCCTTGAGCCATGCGCAGTGGCGATGGCGAAGTCTGTGATTTCCCCAGGCAGCCTGCAGATGATATGGTTCGTACATCCAAGGGTGTTCAATTCACATATACATATATACATATATACATATATATACATATACATATATACTTATATACATAAATTCATATATACAGATATACATATATACATATATACAGATATATATATTTATATATATATGTACACATATATACATATATACATATATAGATATATACATATATACATATTT